GTGAGGGTGCCTCGTCGCCCACTTCTATTTCAAAATTGTCAAGGGCACACTTCAGAGAGAATTATAAAGGTTCAAGTATGCTGACCTAAATATATTTGAAATAGTTTGTCTTGATAAATTATGTTTCGCTTCATCGATGCTGAATATACTTCGAGTATGGTGTAAGTAGGTGGTGATGCAATATAACGAAAAATGGCATACTTTTAATAGTCTGCTAATACTATACAATTACTTTCTATCTCGTTCTATTGTAAACAAAAGAAGAAAAGAATGATCATCTCTTGCCCGTAATATGGTGATTCACAGTGTTCTAAAAGCATCGATTTCTCTATTATATGACCAAGCTTTAGAATATGTATCAGTCTTCATACATGTATATCTCTCTCTCTCTCTCTCTCTTTCTCTCTGTCTCTCTCTTTCTCTCCCTCTCTCTCTCTCTTTATATATACATGTGTCTATATCTCTGTCCATTCCACTCCTCTGTTATCTCAATGTCTTGTTCCTTTTGTTTTGTTTACTTCTTCCCACTCCATTCATTCTCATTCTCTCTCTACTCCTACCCCCTCCACCCACTCCCACCCCCTCTACCTCTCTTTCTCCCTCTCTCCTTCTTCCTCCTTATATCTGTCTTATCTCTCTCTCTCTCTCTCTCTCTCTCTCACACATTCTCACTCTCTCACTCCATCTTGCTCTCTCCTCCCTCTATATACTTATTTATATCCCTTTTCTCTCTTTTTTTCGCTTCGATTACCCCTTTCGTCTCCTTAATTTTTCTACATCTTTCTCTCTCTCTCTCTCTCTCCCTCTTTCTCTCTCTCTCTCTCTCTCTCTCTCTCTCGCTCTCTCTCAATCGCTATCTCCCTATCTATATGTGTCTCTATTTCTTTCTATATCTCTATATAGCTCACTCTCGCCCTCTCGGAAACACCACGCTCGCAGAGCACTTATGTTTTAGCAATTTGGCACAAGTGGCTATCGATAGATATCCTCAATATTTATCACATCCTTCCCGATTGCACCTGGTGCTGCTGCACTGTGTATCTCCCCAACCATCCTCTCCCCATCCTTCCCCCTCCCCCATTCCCCCCCCCCCCCCCCCCCCCCCCCCCCCCCCCTCGCACACGTTAAAGGAAATCTCGATTTCAGTATTAATGGAAAATAAATGCTCTTCGAGTCAAACTAAAAGTTCCCCAAAATATTGAAGACTAGAACTCATTTCTATTTTCCAAAGAAATTTGGTAAAAACATGTAATAGATGAGAAATGAGATAGAAAGAAAAATATGGATTGTTAAAATTCGATTGTCAACATTAATGTGATTGTAAAAGAATTATTAGCCTCTCGGGGGGGGGGGGCTGATTGGAGATGGAACACTAAAATAATCAAATTTCCACTATTTGTCACGTACTCTGTGGAGTTCTTATTGTATTTTTCTCTCTCTCCCTCTCTTTTCTATGTTGCATCATATCTCATTTCTTTTTTGCTTCATTCATTTTGCTGCCCTACTCTCTCTCTCTCTCTCTCTCTCTCTCTCTCTCTTTAACTATGACACACCTTCTCATCTAATCCTTCAATACCCGCTTTCTATCACTTTTAATACCTAATTTGTCAACTTTTGAAGAATAATGTGCATAAGAGCATTGTTGTTTGTTTGATAATCTTCTGCATAGTAATAGCAGGGACTTGTTAGTTTTAGTAGTAACATGGTTACACGCATCAAGATATTTTTACTTTCTGTTTTAGATTGAATTACTAATGCATGTATTATTCGAACTTCTTTTGAAGTAATAATATAGGTTCTGGATAATGATGATGATAACAACAACAACAACATAATTATAATGATGATGATAATAAGTACAATAACAGTAATGATGATAATAACAATGATTATAATTTGTATCGCTATTAGTATAACAATCAAACCTGTCTATTAAGGTCACCAAAGGGAAACAGAAAAAGTTGCAATTTTAGACAGGTGGCCTTTATAGACTGGTTCTACAACACATATTTCTCTCGAGCGACAGACAAATGAATGGCTATACTATAAACAGGTGGTCTTTATAGAGAGGTGGCCACTAAGACAGGTTTGAATGTATTATAAAACCTCGTATCTTACATATTTATCACATCATGATACAGCATTTCTCTGTGGTTCTTCAGAACTTCGAATTGACTAGATGTAGCTTCTTTGAAACTGTTATAAGTGCTCAGTACATTACAACATTTTCAAAGAATAACCTTACCCATGTAGGCCTACCCACTTACTACAGCTTGACCGAGTCTGGCGAATGTAGGTTATGCCTTGCCAACAACCATTACATCTCCAGTCAGATATATAAACTACTTGACCACAACATTAATTACACTTAATATATAAGTTTTGTAATTCTTCTTCGGCAAACATCTTCTCGCCTTCTCTACCAGTGTGACTCTTTTTTCTCACACCTTTCACAAAGTTCATGAAATATATCAGACAACCGATCAAGACAACAAAAGAATGTTCGAAAGTGATCGTAAGGTACCATGTTTATAGATTTTGTTGACGCCCTTACCTATGTCGATGCATCATCTTATGGAATAGATATGAGCTTAATTAAAGAGGGCATAACTGAGGGCATTTTATTCCCCTGACAGACAGGTTGTCCTATCCAGAGAGACCCATAAATGCAAGGTAGAGGATGGTTGTAGCCCTCGTCATTACACCCATTGCCGAGGCTATCTTCTAAATTGTTAAGGATCCGATCAGGAACGACCACCTGCGTCTATGGCATACGTGTTACACTATGCATCTCTAACCAGCCCTGTTCCCATTGCCCCTGTCTTGTGTCAGCTTTCCACCAAGCCATGCACAAATGATACAATCCATGGTGCAGCAAGGTGGAGGAGCGTTTGGGCAAGATAATCCGCTGCGCACGTCTCAATATTCGACCTCACGTCCTCACTTGACGGGTAGTGTGCGCAAGGGTTCTCACTTGTGTGTGCGGGGAATGTACTTTTACACGAATCATCCCCATTTCGTATTCGTTTCATGATTCCTTGTGGCTTTCATAAGAAACGTGTTCAATGTTAATCAGGAATTACCACTTATTCACTATGTCTGACTTGGTCTTAAACATTTCATTAGAATAATTATGGCCTATGAATAAGATATCATAATCGTTTAAGGACGCACATGCCAACTCCTCCAATACGACCTTCCCTTACCCTAAAGAGATACGATTATGCCACCCCAAAGAGAGATATATCCCCTCCAAACGACGCAGTGAAAACGTGTTTCGATGAATAAGAAAAGAAATCCACCCAGGTTTGGCTTGACCCAACCGGTATGCCCGAACTGATCGGAGGTTCGTGAACTATGTTGAAATACTTACCAAATAGCACTGAATTATGCAACAACTTGATCGCGCGGTCCTGGCTAGGTACATGCGAGAGAAATAAAAAGAACGATGTGCCCTACAGATAGCTATGAATAGTTGATTGAACTGGGTTTGTATGCGGCATGGATACAAAGTGATCAAGGCATACAAAGGCTAGGAAATGTTTGACTGTATATCGCAAGCGAAATAGTATATAGATTTTGTACTACCTAGTTGGTAATAGAACATTTATTGATGAGGATCTTTTTATGGAAATATGGAGTATGTTTACCATGATCGATGGCCTTCTTTCTAAAGATAGAAATATTTGCTAATTTAGAATAAGAAAGGATCAAATAGACCAACCTGCATAGTTAGACTACACATCTAATGTTAAAAAGATAAAGGTTAACTGATATAGCGAGTCTTGTAGTTGAATGTCGCAACACTAAAATAGTTTGATAAATTCAAGATTCAAGATCCTGGATAATTTATTGTCATGTAAAAAATATATAAAACTAGTTTTCGGACATTTGATAGTTATACAGATGTAGGCTACTTTTTTTCAAGGACAAATGCCAGTAATTTCAACTATTCTCGGTAATTTTTTAACACACCTTTTACAACATATTTCATTCAAGATATATCATGTTTTCCCCTTGTTACTGATTCACATAATATAGATTAATATCAAAATGAAATTTACAACACAACAAAGAGTTTTTTTTTTCATCGTTCTCTTCACTTCTCGCAAAATGAATAAAATCATGATGATTACTGCCAACGAGATCTCCGAATATATAACTATTTTATTAAGTCTACATTGATGAGTAAACGACAGCTTTACAAAATAAAAGTTAAATTTTTGCTCGCTTGCTTCGCTCCCTCGCAATAGTTGAGATCTGTTAGCATATTTCATACGTCTATGTATACGAGGGATAGAACACAAATCCGCTTTGATGAATTTTGGGGATTGGGGTGACGAAGAGCTTTTTAACCATAGGTTTCCCTCTACAGGGATTTTATTGATTTTCATTTGAATCAAATTTACAAACATGTATTCAAGGTCATTTACATTTATAAAATGAATAAAATTGACTATTCAAGATACAAATATTTGTTAAACAGTTGAGTTTCCAGAAGACAAAAATATTTTCATAATTTATTTCTGATGTTAATGGAAAAACGAAAAAACAGTACAAAAGACACATATTACTTACAAGCATTTATGCTTTCTTAGCAGTCAGGTAAAATAACCACCACCACCACCATCATATTATCAATAGATTATTTGGCTATACAACTACATTGTTTTGACCACTACTAATGATTCGGAATAATACATCTCAAATTGGCGACACCTTAAAGATGATGCACAATAATCCAGTTTGGAGTATTTAAATATGATGTAGTTCGAACTTTAGTCATAACATTATGATGTTCCCTTGAAAGTAAAAAGTGAAATTGTATTAAATTGTGGAATGTGAACGGTATTCTGTCCATGGTGTATCAAAATAGTGATCTGACATTCGTTTTAACAGCTATAGGACGTTTAACTATACTCGGCGTTAAACTTTCCTAACCTAGATTTCAATAAATCTGAAATTAATAAATATGTATCTTTTCTCCATCACAGACGATCGACGATTGGTCATTCGACATATTTTTACTGGATACAGAGACCGATGGCCACGCCCTCAAATTCCTAGCAACGGAGGTTTTATCACGCTACGATCTCCAAACCAAATTCAAGGTCAGTAAACTTTTAAAGTAAATCTAGACGTTTGGGATCGGAAACGGGGCGGAGAAAAGGAGAGGATAAAGTTTACCTGGATTCCAAGGGGATGAAATCTTTTATTCTTAATCTTGATACGACTATTAAACTTCGAAAATATTATGTTCAAAATTACAAATGTTAATAAAAAAAAAAAAGCTTTCATGGATCTTGAGAATGGTTCTGATTTTTTTTTTTTAATTACTCCTCTAATTAAGATCTAGGATTTTTGAGATTTAAAATGTCTCAATTTTATTTAACTCTTGGGGTGATTTTATGTCTCCTCACAGGGTACATGGTGATTGGTCCCATAAAATATAATGTTACAGATACAGTTTCAATGCCACAGTATGTTTGAGACAAATTCGGAATAATTCTAGCTGAGTTTGCTTCTATCAAAACGTTTGAAAATCGGTAGCCCATAATGTAAATTGATGGTGATATCGTATTCTTTGAATGGAAATTGAACTGAGATTTTCTCCTTTTTGAAGGATGATGGTAGTGTAGTGTACTTACCTCTTTCAATTTACTGAGTAGGTTCGAGATTCTCTTTGATCCCACCTAACCAAGCTCGGTGATCCCGTTAGAGTTTCTTATTAAGGTTCATTGGGCTGGTGACAGTTTTAGCATCCGGGTATTAGCTTGGCTCAGTCTGCCGTCGGCTGCGCATGTGTGCAAATATTGATAGAAAAATAGTGCGCGCGCTTTTTTGTCGTTCTATGTCCGAGTCGAACTGTCTACCATGATGTATGCTTTAAAACCTTAAGACGTGATGTCTACTTTCTTTTGGAGACAGCTTAAAACGCTGCTTCTGAGCGAAGAATCGATTTCGGAATTAATCGAGATAAAGGATGACCAATTCAGAGAAAACGTTCTGACAAGAATTTGAAGGCTTTTAATGACTTTCGGATATTATTGGTATATATTCTTTCAAGACACCGGTTACGACTATGTCAATCTCGTAGAGCGTTGTAAATCATTTTAATTAATTAAGTAAGTCTATTTTAATTTGGAAAATGTTGGCATTGTGCAGATTATAGTACAAATCGAATGCCTCTAACCCTGACAGAAGAATTCCAGCTAATGCAACGCCTTTTTTAAAAAAAGGATAAGTTACTGCACAAAATTATTGTCAGTTGATTACAAAAGCGGTCTTAGTTCCAGGTAAGCTTAGGAATACCAAGTGTATATATCTCGCATACTCCTAAACAGCGTACTACATATCTCCAGGTATATGGAATGATGAATTTCTCAATAGATTTCCAGTTTTTCTAATACAGATATCCAAAACTATAGAAAACTCTAAAACATCTTTTCTTTTCTTTCTTTTCGGCATTATAGCACATTACACGACCTGCACAGTGGTGTGCACGCATGCTACATAGTAGCTGTATGATGTTCACGCATGCATTGGCATACTAACATTGCTAGACATTCTTCTTTTTCTGCATATCCTCATTGTACGGATGATGTGCGAAAGCAGAAATTCTTTCATTACAGATCACGTGGTCTTTTCCCCTTACGATCACGTTCCAAGTGAGATTCTTTCGGCGCTCAGTGTATCGGAGATCGTCTCTCGATTTGCTCTTCGTGAAGATAATGGAAAGGAAATGGATTCGCACGCAAACTCTGTCGAAATCGGGGGTAACAAAATCTGAAAAACAAAAAATACCCCGTGACAATCCCCTTCAATGACAGAATAGATCATACATCGAACATTCTTTAGTGAGATTCCACATTCACAGCGATGTGTTTTGCTTCTGCTCTGGAATACCTTAAGGCCTTGAGTCACATCACTTTTCCAAAGTTATTCATAACATCCTTATCTTCTTATGCTCCTCTTCATCTGGAAATAATGGAGCCCGTAATATCGTCTTTTATTTCTCATCCGTCTCTTAAAGCCTGTCAATTCTAATTTCACACAAGGCTGTCATAATTCGACCATCACACATCATGTTGTTCGCCGTAGCGGGATAAACATTCACGCATGTCATCACTGCCACATTTCGACAGCAAACCGTTCGTGATACATATCTCAGTAGTCTAAACATTTCAGATAATGTTTTATATCACACAGGGAAGTGGGATGTTACACTTCAGGAGTAGTCACACGCGATACATTGCATGCAAATTGTAAGGATCTTACTCAATCGCGGTACTTGGCCTAAAGATCGTTTGAACGGGCCTTTAGAGAGTGGGTTGTGTCCTGGTTTGGGTCAGCGTTTGCTTATCGGCTGTGTGAACAGACCACTTGAAATTCTCCGTCTTTCTATGTGATTGGTGGTGGCAGACAGCACAGAGCGATATGACCCGGTTGTCAAGTTCATTTACTGTGCAAACGGCTGTTCAAACATCGTCTCTCCTCCAAACCATGCATCCTCTGAAATACAGTTCAGCCAACTCTCATCATCCTCTCATCATCCTCCGATTTTACGAGGATGATAGGGCATTATTTTCAAAACCATGCTTCATGTCAAAATCCAAGATCCCAATTTATACTTATATTGATATGTATATGGTTTGTCATATTCAACGGGTACACAATATTTTCATCATTCAATTCTGCAAGTCAATTTGAGTATCAGTGATGCTGAATTAGTATGCAACAGATGTAAACAAGAAAAATAGCTTTCACAAGCAGAGTGTAGGTTAAAAAGAACGTTGTTTCATAATTACCTTCATTAATTAATTTTGTTCTGGCCTAGCTAGGTATATAACTGTTACAAAGAAAATAAGGCACACTTTAACACTTTGAAATATGAAGACGTCAATTAAAAGGGTGTAAAATGCGGAGATTATTGACAGATTCGAGCTCCATTGTGTGTATCCAACGTGATCATGTATCGGGAAACGGTTCTTATTGGAAAGAGGAGGTGTGTTGCGATAGCCAAAAGCCAAATAAGACAGTATCCCCCAACGATTACACCAAACTTCCTGTCTCTCTTCCATTTGATATTTTCTCAGGGTTTTACCCCCCCCCCCCCCCCCTCTCTCTCTCTCTCTCTCTCTGTTTTTTTTGTTGTTGTTTTTTTGAAGGATTTTATTTGTAACCTTTAACGCCACCGCTCACTACACGGTCAGAATCCGATATACAATCATGAATGCATATAGCTAGCAACTTTTTGAATAAAATATATTTCTGATTGCGAATAGTGATATGGAAATGAAATTTTCCGGTATTCTAAGCCTTCCTGTCGGAACAATGTTCTCAGTGCCTACACCAGTCGACTGGTATTCATACGGTTGGTCTGACGTCATTACGATTCGAAGCCGCGACCGGTCTGTCTTTTCTCCGAATGCATAGCTTTAAAAGGCCCGCACTTTCGATATTTCTATTTATATTACGATTCGGGACCTTAATCTTAAGCCGTCTGTTCTTCTAGTCCCTTAGAATTTCTTTCAAAAGTTAGCGTAGTCCGGTCACAATTTATGCGCTAGCATTACGATGTCTTGTTCATTCTTAATCTTTCTTTCATTCTCTATCTCCCTCGCTCTCTTGTATATCTATTCCTTGTCACTCACTTGCTCACTCGCTCGCCCTGTGTCTCCCCCTTACCGATCCATCTCACGTCCTCCACACACGTTCTCCTCATCTTCCTCTTCACACCCTTCATCCATCACCCTGCCATTGTCCTCACCTGAAGATTCAATTTCTTCCCCAACAACTCTTCTAAACCAGCTACACAGGTAATAATCCAGATAGGGTTTCTTCATCATTGTCACTCGGGGCAGATAACTGCTTTCTCGCTTACCTACGGGTCGTATCCGGGGCTAATGATATACTCGGAGCCCCTTATTTGTCGCATGCATGCAAAGATACAAAACAGGGAAGCCTTCATCCACGTACAGTGGGGTCTCAATTGCGGCACCCTGTTTTTGTGTCGTACCTTGTTTTCAAATATTACACCAGCGGACGGATTAAAAGGAAATTTTTCATTATGTTCTTGTGACCGTTATGACTTTCGAAAGGTGCATTTTGGCAGGCTTTCCTGTTGCTTTTTGATTAACGACATCGCGGGTTAGTAGACAATGTAAATTAATCCGGCAGATAAAAAAAAACTGTACCCACATCACCACGTCACACTCTTCACCTGGTAAAAGCGAAATGGGGCTCATCTGCACTTCTACTGCGTGAATGGAAAGCACTTTGTCGGTGTATAAAAAGTGTTTTCTACCTTTGAAGTGTATATTGTTGGCAGAAAGAAGCAGCAGCAATTTTAATTGCCACCAGTATAACCAAAAAATTGAGGTCGACGCATTTATAGTCTACTATTTATCAACATGATTAGTTGCACTTCCAGTGAAACCCCATTTTCTACTTAAATCTTTCTCGTTCCAAATCATTGGCATTATCACCACCATCAACATCATCATCAACAACATCATTATCTTCATTATTCACACTGATCATGGGCTTGTCGAAATAAGCTTACATCCATTTAACCTAATGTGCAAATTAAAGAATTTTCAAAGTTACATTTGAGATCACTGTAACATCCAAGTGCATATTGACAGTGATATTTGTTATTCATTTAAAACGTGCTTCCATAACCTGCACTGAGACAGATCCTTAACAGGTGATTGCAAGATGAGAAAATGATAATACTTATATGTTTGTTCATTTCGTGTTCCATTTCCACCGTACAACTTTCTATACAAATTTCACACCGTTTTGTATAAGATTCATGACGTACCAACAAACTAATCGACCTATTATCGTAATTATGGGTGATAATGATTTTAAACTCGTGTACCGTCGTCCTATACAACTCGACTGAATAGAGCATCATCATTAACCCTAATTGAAAATAGCATCTATTATTTTTTACCAGCCCTGTATCTTCTTGTTGAAGGTCGTTTAAGGTCATCTCTTGACAACAGCAGACCATCATCAGATCCGTGTCCGACTCAGCAACCAATGATACATACATCATGCTTGCTTCATGAGACAAAATCAATAATTTCACGGCAGCTGATGCAATATTATACACCGACACAATAAACGAACGTCTTTCGTGTTTTTTTTTTTTCTATTGGTCTTTGTCTCACTTTCTGTTTTTTTGTCCATGAAAAGTTAATTTTGGTTCTTTGTACGTCAGGAAGTGAATCCTGTGACTGTCAAATTTTAAAATTAGAAATCATAATCCATTTGATTGTGTAGTCCTTCGTTTGACATAAGTTAATCAATGCCCTTTGCACAAGAAATGTCCTTTCTATTTCGTTATTAATTACGTTAGCCAAGCCTCTTAAGGCAATTGACATGATGTGTGGTATTAATTCGAATCAGTAATTAATCCCCTGCATACGGGGACTAGGTGTTCCATTATAAAAACATATGGGAATGGGAGAATTCAGTAGTTAACGGGTTATAGTATTTACTTTGCTTCCTGTTTGTACACGATGTAACTCTTCCATGGTGCGTCAAAGACTGCGCCAGTCGCCGACGCAGTGCTACGTCATTAATTGACGCATCGATTGCAACGCACCATAGATAAAGGCATAGACAAATTAAAATGCATAAAGATATCCCTTGAACGGTTCGTAAATCGAGCTAAGCGGGAAATGTAATGAATTTATGTCCTTTCTTTCTTTTTCTTCTTCTTCTATTTCTTCTATTACTTCTTCTTCTTCGATTACTTTTATTATTACTACTTCGACGACGACGACGACGACTACTACTACTACTACTCAGTCGGTAGAGCAGTGGTCTCGTAATCCGGTGACCCGGGCTCGAAACCAAGGCGATGCGCCAGTGCCCTTTGGTAAGGCATTAATCTTCATTACCAGGTCCCTCGGAGAGGACCTAAAGCCGTCGGCCGTCTGGTTGCTTACTTACAAGCATTTATGCTTTCTTAGCAGTCAGGTAAAATAACAACCCCCACAACTACTACTACTACTACTACTACTACTACTACTACTACTACTTCTAATACTCCTTCTTCATCTTCTTCATCTTACTTTCTTCTTTTTATTTATTCTTCTAACTACAATTTTTTTTTTCTTCATTTGTTACTCTTTTCGTCTTGTAGATTCCTCATTCTGTACTCGGTGCTTTCTTGGACGCTATGGAACTTGGTTACAGCAAGTACGGCAACCCCTATCACAACCTCCTCCATGCGGCTGACGTCACACAGACAGTACATCATATGTTAGCACGGATGGGACTTGTGGTAAGTCAAACGGCGTATTCGAATAAGTTATAAAGCGGTTGTAACCGCCCCGTGTACTCACCGTATAACCAACCGTCTTTGTGACCGTTCATCAGCGGACCGTCGGAAAGTAGTTAACTTCTCAGCCATTTGTTACATGGCCTCCACTGGTCAAAGTGGATTAGAACGTAAATGGATTTAGGAATAAATTTGAAATTCAAAATTTTAAACGGTACTGGTGTGACGTTGATATTCAACGCAACCAAAACGCCTTTACATTTATTTATTCATAGGTTTATGTTTTCTAAAGTTTGAGCAACAAATTTGTGTTACTTTACCATTAAATATTCATCTTTTATATACTCTTTAAAGAATAATTAGGAAGCTGAGATCATTGTTTCCATTCCGGGTGTGGGGATTCAAAATGGGATTTAGCACCTATTTCATTTCGAGGTGCGTGTCTTGTTGGATAATATTGAATAACATTATACAGACATCGCAAAGCATTTTGTAGACCTGTACGTATTCAGTATTCAGGACGAAGTTTGATTCGGAAACTTGTCATTATTTAAAAAGGGATCCGGTAACTTTGTCTCAGATTCTGAACAAAATTCTGGATTTAGCTCATGCTGCAATGATAATTATAAACCTTTAGGTCAGTCAGGAACCCCATGACTTTTACAAGCCGATCGCCTGTCTGATTATCAAGATATTTATGATTGGAATTACAAATTTTCATAACACTACAGTCTATTGGGGAAATGAGTATGGTAAAATCGGTCACTCAAAGGTTTTTACTTTTTGGGGGCACTTCTTGATCATTTTGAAGCGCAATTTTGTTAGGATTCAATATTACACCATATCACAGACACTGATAACACGTAGGGCCGTGTATCTCAGATTTAACATTGTTAAACGATCCCTTTAAGAGAAGTTGCGAGGTAGAAACACGTTTACTCGGTTTATAATAAGAGCTGCGTGGTTTGGTGAATATTCCTTTCTCTGGCTGTTTGCATTGCGAATCTTTAGCCGTGCAGCCGTCTTTAGAGTTCTGATACATTCAAAATGAATGATGCTTACATTTTCTATAAATAGAAATAGGTTAAATATGGACTCCATGTTCGCTTAACAATAGAAGATTGAGCAGACTGCGATGGAGTCTGATGATGCTTGATTTCAAAATATGAAAGAAACAAACTATTGTTGGCTGAAAGTAACATTCTGCCAATTCATAGAATGAATAATGACCTGTCAAACAGGTCAAACTCGGATCGGTTAGCTTTTGGCGCCTCGGCGCCTTGGCCTTCTTCAGATTTTATTGCTGACTCTTAAGGTCGAATGTGACCATATATGTTGATGTAATGTGTAAAAATATATTCTACAACTTGTTTTAATGTTCCCTTACAAAGCTTGAAATGATTGGATGAGATTGATGTAATGATTAACAGTGATCATTGCTAAGTATCTTAACTAATCCATGTAGTTATCATGCTAGTATTTCGTTGTATATAATACTTGTATAGTATCTAGGATTTAGCAATCTGAAAAAGAATTGTCATGAGATCATGAATAGGCAGCTTTATTCGTTATGTCTTTTCTTTGATTGACATTAAGTAAACCGTTTCAAATTTAAACAAGAAATGAAACGGCATGATCCATCGAGACCGTCATAAGCAGGAAATCAGTGCAAACTATATCGATTGTATTCTTTTCTGACAGATGCATAAAGAAGAACTACCGTCAAACATGGTGTCCTGATTAATAGACATGCGAATTAGTGCATAGCCTGGGGATCGAATAAAAACTCCGACCATTGATCAACTAAAAAGAACAATAAAGGGAGCTGGGAGAAAAAAGCTGAAAAAGAAGCGTTAAAATTATCATCCCCAATCAATTACTACATTGATTACATTTAGAGCAGATTGTTTCGGCGTGCGCTGCTATGGTAACGTCTACTTTGGTTGCCTAGCGACGTATGCGTAAAGAAGTGTAATCTGAGGAGGCAGGTATATGTGTGAATCGAAGAGAATATGCGCGCAAGAGAGTATATATAGAGAGAACAGAGGTAACACCGAAAAGAGGTGTATAGCAGACAGCGTCTTTAGAAACGTGCCGAAATAATTCATGCCATCAAATTTTGTGTGGACTTACAATCTACCTCACCAACTAGTTTATGCATAGCTTATATATTATGGTGTCATGGTGACGCAGTATTTTTGTCACACTAGGCCGCGTTAGTGGTTTTACCGAGTAGTGTTAAACATTATGCAGTATAATGTATTCATGTTTTTCTTCTTGGTTTCTCTGCGTCTGCATTTCCTCTTTGATGATCTGAGCGACAATTGATTTCGACCAAGGCTAATCGATACCTGCGAGAACGCGCGAACCTCTTTCATGTTTTTCTTTCTCTCGCGATCCGCCGTAATGGTTATTCATGCTATTCATAAATTTTATTAACAAGATTCGATATTATTTTCTTTTGACGAGCTTGCGGTATCATATTGCACATACTAGGTACATGGATAGAATGTGTGACTCACGAGTTACTGTCTGCTTCGCTTGTTCTCATATATTGTGTATTCCAATCGATTATTAGCTTTTCAATTTTACGGATAAAAGTGAATATGACACGCAGGTTCCTATCCAGAAGAATTATACATGTATGTACAGTTAACAACTAAATTATTCATACCCTTTTGCGACCTTTTTTGCAGTTTGTGAAGAAAAAAAATTGCATCAATTGATGCAATTTTTCAAGCTTATATCTAAATATTATTCAACGAAGGCCCTAATTCAACCAGCCAACTTTCATTCTTGAGTAAAGCCCCAGTCCCATATAAAGCCGGACCAGCACGGACGAGCACGGACCACTCCGGACCATCCCGGACCATGGTCTGGGGTGATCCGGGATGGTCCGGGATGTTTTGTTCAAAAAAGTGTGATGCTTTAAAAGCTACAGTCCCATATACGTCCCGGACCGTCCCGGACCATCCCGGACCCCATCCGGGGTGATCCGGGATTCGGTCCGTGTTGACACCGTGTTGGCACCGGGGTGGTCCTGGATGGTCCTGGATGGTCCTGGGCGGTCCGGGAGTCGACCCCGGATGTTTTTGACGGTCAAAAACTGCCGGGGTGGTCCGGGACGGTCCGGGACAATAGTTTGATCGGGGTGATCCGTGTAGCCACCGTGCTGGGTCCGGGGTCATCCGTAGTGGCGCCGGGGCGGTCCGTGTTGATCCGTGGCAGTCCGGGAGTGAGTTATTGACCGCCCAGGACCATCCAGGACCATCCAGGACCATCCAGGACCACCCGGTGCCAACACGGTGTCAACACGGACCGAATCCCGGATCACCCGGATGGGGTCCGGGATGGTCCGGGACGGTCCGGGAAGTATATGGGACTGTAGCTTTTAAAGCATCACACTTTTTTGAACAAAACATCCCGGACCATCCCGGATCACCCCAGACCATGGTCCGGGATGGTCCGGAGTGGTCCGTGCTCGTCCGTGCTGGTCCGGCTTTATATGGGACTGGGGCTTACCAGAAAACACAAAATACTTCAAATTTACAAGGGTTATGAATAATTCAGTTGGTAACTGTACATATAACTTTTTGTTCCACCCCCATACTCAATCTCTCTACCTCTATCTCCCTCCCCTTCCACCCCTCCTCTTCCATCCCCTCTTCCACCCCTCGTCTTTCTACTTTCTCTCTCTTGTTCAACCACACACCCCTCCCTCTTAATTAACTTTTTACACTGACTCGTTATTATTTCTCATTGCTTTGTAGCACTGGCTGTCTGACTTAGAGATCTTCGCTTCACTTCTAGCAGCAATAATTCACGACTTTGAACACACGGGTACTACAAATGCATTCCATGTCAACACCAAGTAAGTTAAACCAACTGGGGAAGTCAGAAATGAGGGTCAAAAGAGGGGGACAGAGTCAAAAGAGAGAGAGAGAGAGAGAGAGAGAGAGAGAGAGAGAGAGAGAGAGAGAGAGAGAGAGACGGACAGTGGACGAGAGGGCCCGATTTCGATCTTTGCTTTGCTTGGTGCATAATCCTTGAACAAGATATTGTTTTGCCCACATTAATAATTCTGTCCCTCTTGGCCCAGGGGTATTAAATGGGTTCATAATGCTGGGGTAATACATACTAATGTAGATACCCTGGGTATCTTAAGATCAAATGATTATTGTTCTTATGCATAGATGATGAACAGTGAGATTCATACAGGGGTAGTATATAGAGGTGAGAGAGAGAGAGTTGAGATTTAAGGAGGTGGTCAAACGAGGAAGAAAAAAGGACATTGAAATATATTGAAATATCATTGCATTGACTTTGAGAGAGATTTTGGAGACAGACAAGGGGAACAGGGGGGGGGGTAATGGTTCTTGCTGGCTTTTATTTCTCAATGTATTTTCCTTTTCTTGAGTGTATTAATGTTCTTGTGTTTTGGTAGCTGTTTTATTATAGTTAATAGTTAATAACTCTTGTTTGTTTGTTGGTCTTGATAATATTCATCTTAAAACTTCATCAAAGTAATTACTGTCATCACCATCATGATTACTAACGTCATTACAATCATCATCACTAGCATCATCATCATCATCACGAACACCATCACCATTAACATTACCATTACATCGTCACCCAGGCACCACCGACGTAATCTCTAACAACAGTGCCATCGCACCCTCCTGGCGAACATCATCCTTATGATAATTAGCGTATGTAGTTGCATAAATCCGTAAACACTTTATTCTAGCATTATCTTTAAACAATGTTTCAAGTGACCCATATTCCATGGTATTGATCAACTCGGCAAACACAATGGACTTTAGGAAACTATTGGCATTCAGCAGAATATCATCACATTTACGATCTCAAAATAGATGAGGCTTCATTGAAGCGACCATGAAAATGTTATGTCCCATTGTGTTCATGTTTCTGCCCTGGAAATAGTATGCTTTCCTCTTTGATAGTAGAATTGAAAGAGAGAGAGAGAGAGAGAGAGAGAGAGAGTGAGGGGGGGGGGGGGGGTTAGGGAGGGAAAGTGAGTGAAGGAGAGACGGAGATGTGTGTACATGTTTGTGTGTGTGTGTGTGAGAGAAGGAGCGAGATAGATATGAGAGAGAAACAGAGAGTGAAAAACAAATCATGACGTAAAAAACAGGATACCAATAATAATAGATTGTGTTAACACTATCAGAGACGCACTTTCATAAGACAAATAGCGCAATTATGGCAGCAACTTGAAAACACATCTAACTGCTACCTTAATTTAAGTGTATGATTAGTCTAGATTTAGTATAATCCTTTAAACCGCTGTATAATTATAAAGAGCTTATTTTGTAACTGTCTTTTTTTCTTTCTACGTGATCATAAGCATCTTACCTTCGCTGCTTAGAGGTTGGGTTCATTTCGGTAATGTGTATGCTTAGTGGCATAGCGTGGGTCGAGGCATTGAGAAGGGGGACTCTGGTATCACGGGGTTATGGGAGGGGGAGGGGACACAGGTCTTACTTGGTAGATGAACATCGAGTTAATAAGCTCACCGATTAGTGAACAGGTCATATCCTTTCCTCTTTTCGTTCACATCCTCTTCGTCCTATCTTTTTTCCTTCTTCCCCCACCCGTCCCCTCCTTCTCCCTCTCTCTCCTCTCTCTCTCTCTCTCTCTCTCTCTCTCTCTCTCTCTCTCTCTCTGTTTTCCCCACCATTCTATTGGGGGGGGGCACGTGTCCCTCCCGTGCCCCCTTTCTTACACCACTGTGTCTATGGTTTAAATAGCAGTGTAAAGGAATACGCTTCCACTCCAGGACGACGCAAACAACCTATTCCGTATCAATAGCAAATTATGTTAACTATAAATATACAAAGATTCTTGAGTTTGGTGAAAGCAAATGGAAAATCACTTTATATCTTCACAGAAAAGGAACAATTGGACGTAGGAGAATGTGCCGAGGGCGGCGAAAGTAATGTAATTATCCCGAGTAAATGTATACACACGGGTTATCTGATAGCATATATTAGAAGTATTAGCTTTTCTTTTTTATAGAAACAGCTTACAAGCGCACATCGCTTAGAAATTTCGCCAAGGCGGTACAGGCTTAGTGGGTGTATGAAGAGAAAAATTTGAATTAAAATTGTCTTTCTTCTATGAATATTTGGAATTTAGTTATTGTTGCCACATACTAATTTAAAGAAGAATTTAGTCGGGAATTCGGGAATATACATTATATTAAGTGAACTAATTTAACTCCTGATTTTATCGTCAGTCCGAAATATTGCCGCCATGAGCAAAACTGCAAGTTTCGCATTGAATCACTGTTTAAAACTAAAGCGATGCATTTATTAAATCACTGCATTATGGAGGGGATTTACGAGATCTTCCTTTCGTTACAAAAGGAATATCGTAAATAAATCTCCCACCATTCAAACTCAAAGAGATACAAAAATATTACAGTTGGTTTTTATTAGGCTAACCCAGATGTCCTGAACTTTTGCACCCCCCCCCCCCCTTTCACAAAATCCTGAAGTGGTGGATACAGGATTCCCTGGCACATTCCGAAATGTATACCACAACCAACAAAAAAGCATCTTTCCTTTTTGCTTGTGCTGTTTTGCCCCCCCCCCTTCCTATCTACCTCTTTATCAAATCGAATCAGGACTTCTAAATGTAAAAAATGTGCGGATTCATAATTAATCCTCTAGCTTATCGCTTATCGGATATGCTAAGTTATTCTTTCTCATACCAAATCATCCTCATTAAAGTTATCTATCTGGATGTCTAATCACCCTTCGATTATCTTTAATTATCTTTAATTTCCTCTAACTGGACGCCATTAGCTTAAGGAACTGGTCATTTCTTAGAAGTGACGGTTTCAGTGAATGGTCAAGCATAGAGCATAATCTATTGCATTGTGACATAGACTAATACATTTATAAACAAACATTTTTATGTACCAACGGCCTTGCTCCACGCTAAAGGAGGGGGCATAATTATGTATCATAATTATCTCATGCAGGAGAAATCAACTCCGCCTGTTAATTGTGGGTGATTATAATTATGTTGATAACATTTTACTTCTTCAGGAGCTCGATATTGACTCAGTAATTTTGTTTGTTTGTTTGTTCTTTTTCTTTCTTTTTTTTTACTATTGTCTTTTTCATTACAATGAGAATAGTTGTTGAGTGTATGTTATAAACTAAATACCAATATTTGATAGATGAAGGCGTTGCTTGGTATTAAGACTGGAGGCACATTTCCATGGTTGATCTATTACTATTTTGTTTCCTTGCAACTGAACTTGTGTTGCATTTAATATCGGGAAGATATTCCTGATTGTGGCAAACAGGAACACGGCAATTGAATTATCATAGATACTTGGTATACACGGAGGTTGTATCAATCTTAATTTATGTTTCATGTCTCAGATCGCTCACTCATAATGAGACGGGCTTGGATTTATACGATAAATAGATCTCATAACCGTGGATGCAATCTTGCTTGTTTCCTATCAAACATATACAGCTCCCTGACCGGAATAGGACCCATTTCATTGAATGATGACAATTGCCCCGGAAGCATATGCAGATAAATCTTTCCCTACTTCAAGAGATTTGTAAATATGAACGACGAACGTTGCACTGTCATTACCTCGGACATTCCGATAAATAACGAAGTCGCTTTCCTCTACCGACTTAGTTCATATCTACCGCTGATGACGTAGGTAGTCATGTGACACATGAACCTAATTAGAGGTGGGATAAAAGGACGGCTCTCTTATGATAGGCTAATGCAATTCATGGGTTTGTGTATCTAGTCAGGTTTGCTGAGCTACTCTAATTGAAATTGTTGCCAATTTGCCGCGTATATCCTAGACTCCAAGCACGAGACTGTCCTATTTTCTTCCAGTGTCCGGATGGGTTTACGACCTTTCACTTTCTTGTCTATTTATTATTGCAAAGTAATATAATTCAGTTAAAAGCATTGCACCGGCAATCTTTATATCGTACTATGTATAAGTCTCATTTTACATCCTCGTGTATAGTAGCGTGTAAAGATTTAGCAATAATGATATTTAACAGTACAGAACTATTTACCAATGGTACCGTCATTAATATTATTAACGCTGCAATGATCATTTAAGTGTATTACTCACATGAAGACAGAATGGTACGGGGAGATAGTATTATTGATGTTATTTTTGCTAAAACGGGGTATGCTATATTTGTGAAAAGAGCCTAGGGGTGCTCACTTCTCCTTTCCGGTCTGATCTTAATCAATCATTCAAAATGGCCGTCCTTCACTTTCCTTATTCAAATCGCCTGCAAGCAACATCCACTTCAGTGTTTTATCATGGATTGTTTTCCTTTTCACTGTGCTCTATCTGTAAACTCCTTGGCAAGTGTCTTGCACAACTTCTCATTAGTCATGTTTCATGTAGGATGACCCCCGAGGCGGTGGAGGCAACATTTTGACAGGAAGATTTTGATGGATTTTGTTGGAAAACAACGATTCGTGACTGGCTCCTTGCATTTTGGGGCCGCCGTAACTCATCGTCAGGAGTTAAATCATCGTCCCCAAACAGCTGGACCAACGGCCCGGCACCGATCCACTGGAATTCCACATCCCTCAGTGCAGACTGGAGATGGATCCAGGGAGACTTTCAGAGAAGCTTGAGGCAAGAATGAGAGATGGGAGAAAGATGAGAGAGAAGATGGAGGGGGTATAGGGGTAGGAGGACAGTCGGGGAAGAGGGGTAGAGAAGATCAGAAGAATATGGGGAACCGGGGGAGTGACGCGCAGATCGATATCCAATATAAAGAGGTAGCCTATGTGGTTCCGTGATATTTTACACTATATGAAAGTACAGCAATGTGTTACAGGGTTAGGGGTAGATGGAAGAATAGAGGTGAGGTTATTGAGTAAGTACAGTGAAACTGAAATGGAATGCCAAAAAGCTATACTAGCAGAGGTGTGAATGAAAGATATTACAAGTGATACTCGATATGATCATGTAAATTACAAAGAAGAAGGACGGGGTGAAAACCTTGCTCATCAATGTTAATAGAATGATAAATCATTTCATAAAAGTGTGCCGTATGGAACAGGAAAGAGAAGAGACAATTAGTAAGAAGAGATTTGTCTGGCGTCAGACGACTATGATTAGAGAGAGAGAGAGAGAGAGAAAGAGAGAGAGAGAGAGAGAGAGGGAGGGGGAGAGGGGGAGAGGGAGAGAGAAAAGGAGAGGCCAGGGGGAAGAGAGTTAGAGGGGGAAAGCAAGACGAGGAAGGAGAGAGTAAATACATTCTACACGCACATTATGTATATATGAGCCGGAAATGTTCTTCACGAAGAAGAGCCGAAACAAAACAGAAAAGGGGGAGTAATGAGGGATGAAGATAGAGAGCATGGAATTCGGCTTGCATTCCAATTCGTGAATTTATTTGTTAAGATTAAGGTCAATCCAAGAAGACTCCAAGAGAATCTTGCTTCGAGTGCTGACGAAGAGCATGTCATCTAGAGACTAAGTTTCAATGTTTACGTCGCTAGGCTCAACCATCGTCAAAACATACGTGACTCCAGTAGGGTTGTCGAACATTAGAGATTCAGCAAGCCCGTCATTGTATTTCTTTTATTAGATTTCTTTTGTATTTGATAATGAAGAATGATTACGACGTGGGTTGCTTGTCGTGGTAGTATGGATGGAGGATGTAGGTTTATGTTAGATTTGAGGCAGATAATCATGCTTCTCGCACCCGAAGAGAGAATACCTCAAGCCCACTCCTCATCCCTCTTCACTCCCTTAAGTTAGGTGAAGACGGATTGAGATGAGCTCAACTTTCAATTTGCAATCGTGACGGTGTAATTATCATTCATGTCGTCTAGTAGAGATAAACCCGCTTGTAACTTGTCACTTTAAAAATCCTCCTCGTCATGGTCTCCATGGCAACGCTGACCCCATACCCCATACAATCTCCTAGAGTATAGTATGCATATCGTCTGCATTATCATGATGATCTTGATGACTGGTGGATTTGGGGAGCGAAATCGGCTCGTGCCCCCCTTCATTTAAACACCAATCGTGCATAAGTCAGGTGGTGACCGAACTTCATTTTCATGTTTTGGATTCCCTAAATTCAGCACTGCTACAACCACTCTTACCGCCGCAGCTTTCCGATTATTAAGTAATAATAAAAAGGAGCCATTGACACTAGAAATGCGAAAAAATTATCTTGACAGGCACAGTGCCCCCGTCCACTTTTTTCTGCTTCTCAATATATTATCAAATTTGTTTTACAGATGAATTAGGCTATTATTAGTACTTAAAATTCAGTATAAAATTCGTTGGATTTCCGTGAGAATTACCTTGACTGAATCCAAACGTTGATTTACAAAACACATCCAAAGGTCTTCTCTGGATTAACAATGAAAACGTAAAACCTTTTTAAAGGTTAATGGAATATGAATAATTGAAGGATGTATGAAATGAAAGCTCCATCGGACAGATGAAGTAGAGGGACATGGAGAGGCTTACGTTAGAATATTTGTGTTATAGATTTTTAAAAAAAATAGAATTTGAAAAAACTTGTAAACGACTGAAGGATGACTCTCTAAAGACCATCGCACTGTATGATCGGTACACGCACACACACACACACACACACACACACGCACACGCACACGCACACACACCTTCTTTTTAAATTTAGTCTTTCAAAAGGATGGCCACATAAGTGTTTTTACCTTTAAGTGAAGCAATGTTCTTTTGCCATTCATTCCTAGCATACCCAGGTATTGCATGTTCCTTGTCTTTAAACAAAATATTTGTACCCAGGATAGCCACATCAGTATCAATACCGCCCTTTCTGTGAATCCTATAATTATCATTACCTCAGCTATAAATTGCTAGGAGCCCATTTACACCTGTGTGGAGAGTTGCAAATGTAGATGAGTGTCTTCCCAAAGGACGTTAGCGCCGGGCTGGGATTCGAACCATCAACTCTTGGGTTGAGATTCAAGTGAATGAAACATTAAACGATGACACCTCATGCACATAGGTGTCACGGTGTCGCGTTTTGTCATCGGTTTTCGTTCATTGTTTTGTCACCTTTCTCTCAAAATAATAATGTTCTCTTTCTCTTCTCAGATCTGACATGGCAATGTTCTACAATGACCGAGCAGTGTTAGAGAACCATCACATAAGCAGCTCTTTTCGTCTCATGAGAGATGATGAAAGGAATATCCTTGCTAACCTCTCCAAAGAAGAGTACACGTAAGTGTTATTATTGTTATTAATGTTGTTGTTGTTGTTGCTGTTTACTTGTTTTTTTGTAATTATTTAAATGATGTTTACGTCTGAACCCGAAAACAATTCCATGTTTCAAATGTTTCTTTAGGTCGAGATATAGATTTTTGTAGTGAGGTAGCTGAATATCTTTACTTTGATAGATACTTATCCGAATCATTTTGGGGGAATATAAACGATGTTCATGAGCGCATGAGAACGAGAACAAGAACGAACTACCAAAAATTATAATAAAGGGTTCAAAATAATCCAAATGGATTTCTCTTCGAATGCTAAAGTGTGAGGTTCTGCCAATGGGCGGAGTGGGGGACTTCTCTATAATGATGGAGGATAAACACTGATGTTGTAACATACACAAACTAAAAGGTTGTTTCTTTTTCATTTAATGTACAGCGTATATGGAGCGTATGACGTAAAGTTCGTTTTAGAAGGTTAATAGACCGAGGAGGGAATAATTGGAGCAAGATATTGTAACGTCACAATGAAAAACGTTTTGAGTTGGTTTTGCGTCCGAGTAAAATAAAACAGCTAAATTGGAGGAGGCAAACAGCTGATATATATTTAAGAAAATAGAGCGGGTGGCCGTTTTACAACATCGATTACCAAATACCCTAAACTGCCTAAAGCTATTTGCAGCAAAGTCTTGTATCTTAAACATGTATTTTACTCTCTTTTGTCAGGTTAATTTAAGAGTAGGCGTTCAATCATAATAAAAACTGTATATACATTAGCATGTGGGCGTAGAATCCATCTACGTCGCAATATAATATAAATATACATTATATATGATTATAACTGTAGCATGTAACAAGAGAATATGTAACACTGCAAATTAAAAAAACATTTTTCAAAACAAGAGCAGTAGCACACTTCCCTGAGTCCTTAAACGTTCAAAATCTAGAGTGAGAGTCATTCAGATTCAGAAATGGCTGTAATGTAGAAAAGTGACAAGCTAAACAAACACGAACGATGGATTATAAACTGTCCCACAATTATATCAATCGTCATCTCTGACAGAAATAGTGTCAAGCGGAAGGAGGACACCCCCTTCCCGGGCCCTCCCCCTTATCTCTGGTGAGTTGTTACCCATATCACAAAGCGATACTTTGTACAGAGTAACTGTCCATCAGTCTGTATTCCCGTTTGACCCACATAATTGGATCATCCCCTCCCACGGGTTTGACGTCGCTAGAGAGGATGTGGGATGGTGATTCCGCCCCCCCCCCCTTTCAGTATTTCTGTTGGCATTACAATTGCGACCTTTCCTGATAAAATCTAACGAAAATATTTTCATTCAATATATGTATCTATTTATTTATTTATCTATTTACATATTTGTTCATTATTTCATTCGACGTCCATCCCTTCGTTTATTTATTGATCCATTTGGATTTGCTTGTGGGATGGGGATGGAACTTACAATAACAAAGTTGAACATCTTACAACGAATACTTTCCCTTGTTGTAAAGTTTAAAAGTCTGAGTCCATTATTTATATTACTTGTTTATTCTGAGTGTTAATATATGGCTTTTTGTCGGCGGTTCGGTCCTTCACCCCGCCCCCACTTGAAATGGTCTGGCTACGCCCCTATAATGGGTCGCCCCCTCCGCTGCCGGAGCCCCCATTCCTAGCTTCCCAGCTCATCTGGTGTTAACCACCGTGACACTTCTGATAGCAGACACTCATTAGTATTGTGTGCATGTCATGCAGAGCAATTTCACAGACCAATGCATGGATAGGTTTCTTTTTTAGAAACACAGGTTCATGTAGTATTCTGAAAAATTTAGTCGGGGTCAGATCACCTTTGTGAGATCAATATTATGAAAGAAGGTTCGGTTCAAATTATCGTGTATCTCACTGGTTCCAAAACTTTCCCTTAAAGTATTCTAATACTTCGGTAAGAGTTTTTATTGTACGTTTTAAGTCCAATTTTTCTTTTTGGACCATTGTTATTTGCATTCTAAGTGAGTATATCGCTATAAACATTTGTTTATTGTTTATTTATTTAGTATTTATGAACGACAAAATCGAAATACTTCTCCTTACAATTCATGAAACAGCAAGTAAAGCTATTTTATTCGGAATTCAAGAGGTAAAATATGGATATTTGACCATGGTTTTAAAATTCAAGCGAAAGAAATTTGATCTTGACTTTCGTTTCGTACTACTGACGCAATAACCTATTACTTAAGTTTCACCACGCCATGTACGCGTCAAGTGAAGCGTGCACACGTACATTTATGTACTACAATAAGACCTCATATTTTGAAATTAGCCGCAGGAATTCGTGCATAAAACATTAAATAATAGGCGAATGAACTATTAGGTGAACCGTATAGTGAAGCAATCCTCTTTGTCGTAATTATGAGCTTGTTTTAGAAGAAAGATATTCAGTGGTTGGGTTCGTCATTAACTGATTAATCCTTCATTGTGAAACGATGTCCATGGATGTATTCCCCCTCATCCACACAATGCATGTATTCATGATTACTAGTAACATAAGAACAGCGTATGCTTTATTTTCCTTTCGTCTGTGTGCATAATTCGACATGCAAAAGCATGCATTTTGCAAGTTTCGAATCGGAAATAATTATAATTCAAGTACGTACTTTTCTTTGAACTGTCATGTACCGTTCCCCAAAACTGAGTATGCATTTTCCATAGACTTAGACCATTTACAATTTAAGCATAATATGAATTGATAGGCATTTGCCTTAATAATTAAATGTGGTGATGAGGATTCAAACTAATTATTTGATGATTCTCGTGACAATACGTCCATAGGAATGCGAATAATATCTAAAGATAGTGGACAATAATTTGTCTACGTTTCTTGAATATCGTCTAGTGAAATAATGAAAATCGCTCGCGCATTGTACATCTTTGGATAACAAAAGGTTGTGTAAGTCTTCTTGAATATCCCGACTGGCTTTATCTTGATTATTACCATTTTTGTCTCTATTTCCCCCCTCAGGGAGCTTCGAAACCTGGTAATTGACATGGTTCTAGCCACGGACATGTCGTTCCATTTCCAGCAGATCAAGCAGATGAAATCAATGATCTCGACGACAGAGGCGTAAGTTATCCAATTGTTTGACACCTCCTCCAAAAAACAATATTTGTTGTTGTTGTTATTTTCAAGACTAAAAGAAAGTGTTTGATTATTCCTGTAATTTTTGTTACAAAAGAGTGATCTTGCAATGTACTCGGTCTTAGTACTAAGTTTATGAGAAAGGTTGGGCAAACGATCCATTTCCTTTTTTAACGGAAACAGAGATTTTCATTCGTGAAAGCAAAAAAAAAGACAAACAACCTTTATGACTGTAAACGGTTGTGGACTAATCTTCTGTTGTGTTGTAAACGTTTTGACGATCGCGGTTTTCCTACATGGATACTTGTGTTGTTTATGTATAAACCAGAGCCATCTATACACAGAGTTCGGCCAACCCAGTTCGAGTTGGACACAATATGGCGACTACTGCTTTGTTGGGCTAGCAGAAAACTAAAGAATATACGCCATGTTGTGACCCAGTGAAACCAAGTTGTCCTAACTTTGTGTATAGATGGCTCTGGTATAAACGATAAATTCACAAGGAAACTTAAAAATTCAGTTATCACTATAGTCAAGTTGTTTTTCTTATTTTTTTTGTGGTTATTAGATTGGACAAACCCAAAGTGATGGCTCTTACTCTCCATTGTGCAGACATCAGTCATCCAAGCAAGGAATGGAAGTTCCATTACAAATGGACTACGTTACTTATACGCGAGTTCTTCAGGCAGGTATGTAACATGTCTTTGGTTTTCCCTATGGGTGAATATCACATTGGCAACAGGTTGGCTTTGAAAATGGCAGAAAATGGGAGGAACCGATCAGTGGAGGGTTTTTAGAACAGTCGGATCATGAATTATGAAGTTCTATGTGGTTTCGAAGTTGTGATTAATAACACCTAATTTAACAGCTCTATGATAAATTTTCCTACATTTTTGACGTATGCTGCACTTACTCATCGTGATCATAGGTAATAGGTTGTCTTTAATTGTTGATGTAGTGCATTTATAAGCTGACGGTTATTCATCCCTGTAGCTTGTATATAATTCAAACATTGTTGGTTGAGTAGTTTGATCCTCCATAACTACAGACATTAACGAGAAAACGGACAAGAAATTAATGCATCATAGTTTTCTTTTATATTATGTAAATATATACTTCATTTTTATTTATATTACTTTTGTGTACAGGGTGACAGAGAAAGAGAAATGGGCTTGCCAATTTCACCACTCTGCGACAGGAATTCCACACTCCTAGCTGAATCACAAATTGGTAAGATAATAGGCTTGTTTCGGCAGTCAAACAAAAGGCTATTATTATTGTTATTGAATATTCAGATTGGAACAAGAATGATAAAATGAAGGAGAAGGAGAGGGTGGGAGAGTTGGAAGAAGAAATAGAAGAAGAGGAAGAAGTAGGAGGGATAAATAAAGAGAAGAGAAGGACGAATGGAGACAAAAAGGTTTTTATTTTAAACACATCGACAGGCAGCAAAATGTTAACGTAATGATCCATGAAGACGAACACCACATGATGGGCACCTACCCCTGCCCTCAGCACCCACCCACCCTCCCACCCCCTCGAAAGTCGAAACACACACCCACACACGCGCACACACACACACACTAGATAATCATAAGTCTATCAAGATTAATGTGTAATCGCCATCTTTTTTTTTCCTATCCAGGTTTCATCGATTTCATCGTGGACCCAAGTATGAACATATGTGGTGATATGATAGATCGGATACTAAGGGAAGAGCTTAATTCCGCCTCAAACTCTCCATCAGCAGACAGCGTAGTGCGGAATAAGAGGAACTCTATACCCATGGCGCGGCCCTGCTCTGCACCCAGATCTGCAAGTGTTCCCGCACCAGCTAATAACAACTCAATGAACGTGAGGGCCTTTTCATACCTCCTTAATTCACCTTTCTGACATCCATTTTATATCATTACATCCAGGACATATCATCATTATTATTTCTAAGAATTAGAAGAGAAATATAAGTCCCTTAAGCTCGTCGGTGAGAATGGAATAACTGACTAGCGACAGACGTGCATCACAATGTCCAAACTTTGCGCCATAATCATGGAAAAAATGTTCTCGGATTACGATGTATAACCGTGTTATGGCGTCAAAGCATGTGTTCGTAGACGTCGCCAAACAAAAGAATATTACTTAATGTATTGGTCTTCTTTCGACATGTTCTTTGACAAGCCATAATTTACCCTGATACTGACTTTCACATTGTGATTTACAGGATCGTGATAGGCCCAGTAGCCCAGGAAGGGTCAGTATAGGTAGACGAAATTCTATCCCGGTACGGTGTCTTCGAAGCTGGCACGAAAACCTACACAAAAACAAGTCCAAGTGGAGGGACCTTGGACAGCAAGGTAAGTTCTGTGGAGCTTCTGTAAGACATTCTGCAAGTTTTTACTTTCATATTGAAAGAATTTCTGCAAGACTTTCTGAAAGAATGGTGTGAGAACTTCTGTAAGAGTTTCTGATAGAATTGTATGAAAACTTGTGCAAGTGTTTTGAAAGAATTGTATGAGAAGTTCTGAAGAAGTGTATAAGAACTTTTGAAAGAATTGTATAAGAACTTCTGAAATAATTGTATAAGAACTTCTGCAAGAGTTTCTGAAAGAATTGTATAAGAATTTCTGTAAGAGTTTCTGAAAGAATTGTATAAGAACTTAGGCAAGAGCTTCTGAAAGAATTGTATAAGAATTTCTGCAAGAATTTCTGAAAGAATTGTTACAATACAGTATAAGAACTTCTGCAAGAGTTTCTGAAAAAATTGTATAAGAACTTCTGCAAGAGTTTCTGAAAGAATTGTATAAGAACGTCTGCAAGAGTTTCTGAAAGAATAATTGTATAAGAACTTCTGAAAGAATTGTATAAGAACTTCTGCAAGATTTTCTGAAAGAATTGTGTGAGAACTTCTGTAAGAGTTTCTGATAGAATTGAACAAGAACTCTTGCAAGAGTTTCTGAAAGAATTGTATAAGAACTTCTGAAAGAATTGTATAAGGAGTTCTGCAAGAGTTTCTGGAAAAAAATGTATAAGAACTTTTAGAAGAGTTTTTGAAAGAATTGTATAAGAACTTCTGAAAGAATTGTATAAGGACTTCTGCAATAGTTTCCGAAAATCGGAATTTGAAACAAAATTATGCAAGAAACCTTCTGTAAGTAACACGAGTATTATGTATGGATTAATTGTGATCATGCGGAAAGTAAAGAATCTCATCTTAACTGAATTTTAACCTTTTTCCTGTAAGTACAAATTTCCTTAATAATACGATTGAAATTAATCTTAAACTGAAGCTTTTCTTTATCATTTCTCTCCCACTCTCTCTCTCACTCTCACTCTCTCTCTCTCTCTCTTTCTCTCTCTTTCCTACATGAACACAGAGCACACCGGAGTCAAGGTCTTGGACATTGACGAGGACCCGATCGTTCAGAAACCAAACAAAGATGTCTTCCATAAAAGCGACACGAACGACGACAGCGCAGCCCGCAAGACCAGCAACGCCAACGGCATCGAGGAAGAAGAAGCGCCTCATGATCAGGCCACTACTTCCGGGTCAACGGCTGGGGCGGCCGAGTCGTCGGGGTCTGCGCATGCGCCGGGTCGTCAGGGATCGGGGGAGAGATGAGAGGGTGTATGTTACATAAAGATCAAACAAGAGAAAAGGGTCAATTAATGGACGGACATTAATAAAACATTATGTCCATGCTGACCTAGCAAACAGTCAACACATGATCAGGAGACGAAAAGACGTCATCAACTATCCAGATTTAGATCAGTCCCATTCCGATGCTATGATATATTCTGATGTGCTATCTCAGTCGAGGGAGTTAGATGAACTGTTACGGGGGTATGCATGACCCAAGAACGTCGAGAATTTGAGATGACTGTCACAATGATGATCTGACTCCTGCTAATTATTGGTTGCTGTATTCCATCGTATAAATGCCACCTTTAAATCTGAAAAGATCCGGACAAATACGTACCGCATTAACGACCATTATTAAGCATAATTTGTTTCAATGTTTTACAGTGGAGATTTACAAGAAAATAATCTATTGTATAGCTTATTTCAATGTACTACAGTCGGGATACTCCCCCCCCCCCCCCCCGTTTTTAAACTCAATCATATTGATTTAGACTCAGCGACCCATTAGATTGCCCCGGATAACTATATTGGGCAAAACATCAACTGGATAACTATTACCCCCCCCCCCCCCTACTCCCGTGAGAAGTTATTTCACGATTTGGTCGAATTTCAAATAATTGCTAAGCATTCTTTAGAATTATAGAAGGGTTTGAAGTTTGTATTTGGATATTAAGAAATGGCCCTAATTACAGACTACAATAGCTCTGCAGGAATGCAAGTACATGCAACTATGCACGATGTCATCAAGTACAGCATCAAAAGTCAGCACTTATACTTTAGAGAATTTGTAGCTTTCAGACAAGGCAAATAGAGCACAACGGCGCCAAATACTTTCATGGAAAACTAACCTCATTCGGACGAGAAACATTATGGCCCGAATTCACAAAGCAAGGTTTGAGCTCAGACCAAGGTTTGAGCTCAAACCTCCTTTTGTTTCGCCAAACTTCCTTTTGTTCTTTACAAACCAGTTTTGTAAAAAAACGCGTAAAATGCGTCATATGACGTACGAAAACCAAGGTTTGTCGACAAACCTTCTTTGTGAATTCGGGCCTATGTTTCTTAAAGCCATTGGATACATAATCTGTTCTCCTGGGGTATGCTTAGAGCGAAACCTCATAATAAAATAAAATGTGAACACGGGCACCTTTCAAAAGTGGTCCCTTCTATTTGTAGATAACCACGTTTCAAAGGGAGGGTTTTTAAAAGGAAATAACGTAGATGTAGTGGTTTTAATGAAGTGTACAGTGTAAATATAAAATAACCGTAACCTCGATTTTGTATTCAACAGTTGACTGAGGGAAAACGATCGGACGTTTTAACTTGTTTCCCTCGATGAGAAGAGGGATAATATCGTTCCGTTTTATAACCGTGTGTGCATTTTACCCTACTATACGATGATAATCATTATCTTGTGAGGATATTTTCCATATTGTTGTGTGCCTGTTTTTCGAAGGCTCATTTTGTGCAGACGAAATCATAATAGGCGTCAAATATTTTACTTTCAACAATTTTTAGAAAGGATGTTGTTTAGATATTTAAGACTCATTCGTCGTAAATTATTGAAATATTTTCGGAGAATTATTACCAAAGCGGTATGTAATATAAAAGAGGATGCATTTTTAAGGACTTTGTCATTTTAAACAAGTTATATTGGTTAGATATAGCCAAAGTATACAGTGAATTACTATTTATTTATATGTATTATTTAAAGAAACAGATTGAATGTCTGCGGCAATACATTTTGCAGCTTTGCGTATATACATTTATCAAATGATTACAAATATGAATTATATTCAAGTGGTATTATATCTAGATTATATTTTGAGCTGACTCAGTCATCTTTAAAAGGCTTTGTGAAAAATACATTTCAGAAAATATTGAATCATTTTATTCATACCAAGTAGAGTAGTTAACTAAATATCGCAGTAATTATGATATACAAAGTAATTTTGTCATACTCTAGATTACACTTTTTAAAGCTACTTACTTCCAGTCATGTGTGTTTAGATTTGGTAAGAGATGAAATAGAGGCCAAATGACGAAAGCAATTTTCACTGACCTCAAATGCTTAGTACTTCATTTCATACGACACAAAACATTTCCAGTCGTTGTGATGAACTAGTAAGAAAGAAAAAAAAGGGATACTTAATTCGTAAGGAAGCAAAGCGTCTTGGGTTGTTTTGATTTCTTGCTCGGTTGTCAACTAGTCAAGAAAACAAAAGTATACAAGAGAAAATGTCTTGATCATCAAATACAACCCGAGCTCCTACAGTTCTCTAATTATATGTCATTTATATGCATAAATAGATAATTCAGTCGTATAGTTGATGTCCTAAGGGTTACTATGATATCAGATGGAATATAAATTCAGTTAGAAATGCTTCTTTCAATGTAATTGTTTGATAAAATTCCATCATCATGACCTTTAGTGTTCACGTCCTACCTTCAATATACTAAAACGTTGCTTAGTTAAGAATGTTTAAACTTATTATGGTAAAGTCATTTTTATTACAAAAGTAAAGACGACGTTGTAATTGTAATTGCAGATGTAATGTATGAAATGGTAACATTTTTAGATAAAAGGCAATTTCATATTTTCTTTATTATGATTAATATAGCGTTCATCATTTCAATGCTAAATTTTGCTTTTAAAATGGCAATATCTAAACAAAAGATTACATAGTTTAATTTATAACGAGTTATGCAGATCTCTGTTTCAGATATAATATATAGTTATTTAACAGTATAATATAATGTGACGTAATATAGGTGCATTATGATAATTTTTTTTTTTTTACAAGTGTGTTGCTTTTGACAATTCAAGCAAATCATGTGGCTAACTTGACAGAACTTAACTTCGACGATCTTATTTTTATTATCTTCATATCTAGTGGCATCAAATCTTAACCTAAAACCAATCGAATCGAAATAACTAAAGTAAAAATTTAAAGTAAAAATTTATTTCCAGTAATTTAAAAGTAGTTTGGCTGACGACTTGAAAGAACATGGTTTTCATGGTATTATTTAATTCATTTCAATTCATTCGTTTTCTTTATATTACCATTGTAAAAAGTATAAATCATAACATATCATTTGGCAGCGCTCCGATAATATTTTGAAATTTTATATCTCGATTTTCTTTTAAGGTCTGCAAGTTAATCTATTTTTTTGTTTTAATTCATTCAGCGCGTTATATTCCAGCCAGTCGAACCATTTTAAATTTGATATAATTATGACATGCAGAGTATAGAAGTATCACTATTAAGTATGTTTAAATCATTACGTTTGAAGGTAATATTTAACACTATATATGGCCGTTGAGGTAGTTTATATGTTTACTAGAATGTGCTGAAATAAAAGATAGGGATCCTCGAAGATAGAAGGGAAATGAATGACGTTTGATGAATGAAAATATTTAGTGATTAACAAAACTTTCAAAGTAACAAAACTCTCTTAAATCGTGTAGGGCTGATTGTAGTGGATCAATGCGAAAGTAATTCCAAATCATTGTCACTACCCTGATGACCTTTCATCCTGCAACCTTTAGTCTGATGCTTCAACACTAGTTACACAGTAAGTTTGAGCAATTATATATCAACCCTTTTCTGAGTGATATGATTAGAGTTTATACTTACTTATACCAGCTTATACCAATCTCAAGAAAGAGGATCATATTAGCCCATGTATTATCTGCAAAGCTAACAAAGACTTTAATAAGTTGTTATGCGTTACTTGTGTTCAGTGATAAATTCAATATTTATGCATATTATATTTGAAAATGTGTACTTTTGAAATGTTCTGAATGGAATTTATGTATCATTCTGCCGTACCATTTTTTCAGAGTTTTTCTCAGCTCATAGGATTTGAAGTGTCTCTCGTGTAATTCAAATATTACCATTCCATGCAATTAATAGCATGTGTACTTGCTATTACATGTTGCGTAACAGCTGGTATTTAAAAGGCAGTGGCGTAGCAAGCATGCAGACATTATGGGGGCCTGGCGTCATTGGTTGCTGGGTGGGGATCATTGGTTGCTGGGTGGGGACCATTGGTTGCTGGGTGGGGATCATTGGTTGCTGGGTGGGGATCATTGGTTGCTAGGTGGGGATCATTGGTTGCTATGTGGTGATCATTGGTTGCTGGGTGGGGATCATTGGTTGCTGGGTGGGGATCATTGGTTGTTGGGTGGGGATGATTGGTTGCTGGGTGGGGATGATTGGTTGCTGGGTGGGGATCATTGGTTGCTAGGTGAATGAAATATTAATTACCGAGGCCACCAATTGGGGGATATTGAGGGTGTGCTTTTTTTCCCTTTTGTTCTGTATTCTATTAAAGGGCACATGCCCCCACGGCTACGCCACTGTCTTCGGGTATCACCAAATGTTGTTGACACAAAGATTTGTGTGTGGACGGAGTTCTGAATTTATGTGATTGTTTTTAGTTCTATCAAAACTTTCATGATAACATTGGTTTATATTGCTTCAGACATTTAAGTATTTAAACTATATTGCTGAAACATGCCTCCTCTCTTTCTTTATCTAAAGATCTCTCTCTCTCTCTCTCTCTCTCTCTCTTTCTCTTCTCTTTTTTTCCTTTCTCTCTTCCATTTCTTTCTTTTCTCTCTATATCTCTTTCTCTTTCTCCCTCATCTCATCTCCCCTCTTATGTTCTCATACCAATTGTCTTTGTTTATAACCCATCCTTCCTGATCTTGTTCTTCAAATTTGATTGATTTATAAACAAATTAATCAATCAAATCATGCTTTTTAAGATGATGTAACAGAAACAAGAAAAATAGACACAAATTATGTAGAGCATGGTATAAACGATTTATATTCTTTTAAACTGTGAAATCTTCTTGAATTTATCACTTTTCTTAAGATTTACAAAAAAAAACTAACACTTTCAAATTATACATAAAATAACATCCAGATTTAGTGTTACAAATACAGAGTAACTAGTCAATGTAACCATGAATAAATTGTAAAAGAGAAGAAAAAAAAAACTCTTGCATAATTTAAGCACACAACTATAGTATTCAAGATAAAATATAATAAAATATTTTAAAAGTTGGTAGGAAATACAGGTTAAATTGGTTACTTTCAATTTTGAAGAACTTTTTATATATATTTCTCTTACTACTCTCATAGGCTGAAGTTTACAATAATTGACTTACTTTAGAACTCGTTTCAGATATAAGCTTTTATCAAATACAAGAAATTCACTCTCCATCTCATAAAACATTAAAAAAAACATAAAAACACCTATTCTCAAGTAAAATTCTATATTTGAACTATACAAACGTTAATAGTTTCAATAAAAGTTAACCTATTCGATTCATTACCCTCTGCAAGAAGTCATTAAATTATTGTTTAATTAATTATTACAGACCATGTTATGGTTAAATTTCTTGGAGAAAAACAAATTGTGTACGAATAAACATGAAGTAAGAACACACAACTCATGAGCATTCTCAGACTTGTCGGAGTCTGAATAAGAACTCATTTGAAAAAGCATTTTTGCTGCATTTTGGTAAGCATTCATTTCAGTACAACAAATTTGTTTCCAAACCATTTTTTTTTTCTTCAAAAGTCGGTCCTAAACAAATGCTCGTACTTGAAAAACTAAGAACTGCATTTTCTTTGCCTTTTGATTAAACAATTCTCAACGCAAAACTACTCAGACAACTGAAGCATGCTGAATCGGAGAAATTCTTAATCTCAGACATTCTGCGAGTACAGACTTCTATAATGAACACGTTGTTTGTACGACCACCAAAACATCAAACATAAGCTACTCGCTATACCATATTCTTTCCATCGTATACAACTTATGGATTAAATGCAATGACATTAAATTTTTCGAGCCGACATGAAGCAAAATTGATCTTCACTCCTTTTTTTATTACACTCTTAATTTCCAGTACAAATATATTCTGGGAAGTAATCAACATGTTATTAATGTCATCATGGAAGTGCTCATAAACACATGTAACTAGCTGCTGCTGCTGCTGACACACAGGTTTTTGATTTCCCATCATTTATTATTTATTTATTGGGTCTTCTTTTCTTTTTGCAACATTGCAAAGATGAATGCATCCTTGAGACAGGATACAGTCCTATCAAGTACCGGTATCCTAAGGATTGTATGTAGTTAAATGCATGCAGTCCTAAGTTATATCCTAAGATTGTATACAGTCCTATCAATTATCCTACAGATTGTATGCAGTTCAATGCATGCAGTCTGAAGTTACATCCTAAGATTGTATACAGTTTAGTGTATGCAGTCCTAACCAATTTCCTAAGATTGTATACAGTTCTGTGCTTCCACATCTCCTAATATATCATCATCCTGTATTGTGTCATGTATACCCTCATTTTGCATGATTCATGCAAAGTATATGCATACTATCAGGCTGCGTTCCCACTGCTGTCTCTATTGGTCATGCAATATACACATGTGTAATGCACAGCCTCTATCTGTACACTAACAGATAGCAAGACTGCACATGGTGGATGTTGATGGACCACTTGGAAGCAATGGGAACACAACTTCTTTCGTTCTTGAAATACTCTTGATATCTATTCTAGTCAGATACTATGACAAGCTGTTGTTGTGTGTACATATACTTGTAAAATAGAAAATTTGAAAGTGTATGAAAGAGAAAAAATGTGACATAGGGTTGCATTTGGACCCAATAAAACGTGTTATAAATAAAATTTACGCTTCTTTTCTTTTTTGTGTCTTCTTTCCAGAGTAGAAGAATTTGTTTTGTAAAACATAAGAGATCATAAAGATAAATGTTCATCTTTAATATCTTTCAGTAAGATAATTTATTTGAATACATCTCAAATTATATGAGTAACAGGTGAACAAACAAAAAATTAAAACCCAAACAAACCAAAGGCCTCAAATAAGAAAGTAAAAAAATAAATTTATAACAAACATCCTACTCGTGTAAGACATCCTGATTATGCAATTTCCAAATTAAAAAGAATAAATCTTAAAATATACTTTATTCAATTTTTTTAATTATATACATTTTTTTTTTAAATCTGTAAGCTACAAAATAAAGAGCCTTAGAGGCTCAATGGAATTTCTTGGCTCACTAAGAGCCAATCGGCTAATTTCATAAAGAATTCAAATTCATGCAAATTTCCATACGGAGGCTTCTGCTCACAGCTGACAAGAAAAGTTTGCTTCTCTAAAGCATGGTCTCAAAATTAATAAATAAACAGACTAAGGAATAACCCATCTGTTTTTTTTTTTCCATTTTCAATCCACTTTATTCACAAGCTTAGCAACAACAGAAGAATATTTTCAACTGCTGAAACTACTGAAATCAACTTTATCTTAAACTTGTCCTTTTTCTTTGGACAGTGATGCCACACTTTTGTGCTAATATGAAAGTATCAAAACAATGGACAAATAACATGAAATGATCGAAATCGGCAACAAACCAACAGTCTAACTTCAAGATAATATAGAAAAAACAATTTGCATCTAGTCTTATTATTGCTAAAAAGTATATTTGATTCAGATTACAAGTTTGTATCAAATTGCTTCAAAATATGTCTATCAACTGAACTACAGATACATGTACTTCTGCAAACTAGTCTACTTGTTTCTATAAATTATCTAACCATTCAATGACCACAACAGGGTCAGATCAGCTAAGAATTTTTGCAAAATTGTTGGCACTTTGCAGATGATTTCATACATAGGCTCACCTTGGGTGTGAAAACAATTATTTGAACAAAGTAATCAGCATGATACAAGAAGATCATCAGCTACATGACATTTTCATTGAACCAGCCGAGAGTGTCAAAAGGAACGCATGAAAGGTGAAACTAAGCTGTTTCTCCATGATCACCTGCGATCGTCTGATCTGTATCTCCCGCTCTGTAAAAATAGAAAGAAACAAAACAATACAAATTTGCATGGATTTAGAAGATTTAGAATTTCATTCAAAACAACCTTACTAAAATATTGAAACATACAATGATGGACAGACAGACAGCCCCCTCCAAGCCTAAGGCATGTAAAAAAGGTGCCACTATATAATTCAGCCTCAAAAAGTTAAGTTAAAGCAGTTTTCTCTATCGTCCCTTTCAATTGGTTATGTACAAGTACAATACAAAGATTCCTACAAAGTTTCAGTATACCATTGAAATTGCCTGAAACAGCTGGGGTCTGGGCATACACACATACACACATACATTTCTTAGAAATAAAATGCCAGATATTGGGTGATTCTCACCATGCTACAACCCTCGTTACAAATACTTCCACTTACCCTATCTGGTGGCACCTCGATGGGAAGCGGGTTGGCTTGTCTCCGGGTGGGCGGGGCTCTTATCATGCTCTGCTGCAACTCAGGCGAGTAGTAGGTGATTCCCCCTACCATCTGGGCCCCAGGGAGGGGTTCGTCTCCTATCATGGGTGGAGGAGCTTGGCGGGATGATGGGGGTTGGGGCAGTGGGGGCTGCTGGGATGGGGGAGGGGGTCCTTGGGGTAGAGGGGCACGTCGCTGATTATGTTGACGGTTTGGAGGAGGACCGGACTAGAAGTGGAGAAAAGAAAAAAATATTCCCGTCATTAAGCTATTTTTGTTGAATTATTAACAAACTAGATGGAACTTCGACTGCGCGCAGTCGAAAATGATGCCTCCGTCATAGAGCAATTTTAGAAACCAAAACAGAAGAAATTTTAAAAATTCCAGTTCAATTGTAATCCATTAACAGGTTCTCAGAATATCGTGATTACAAGCAATTTCTCATATACATATATGACCCTTTGATCTTTGACCTCATGACCCTAACATCTACTCAGTTCATTGGCTCTGCAAGATGTCCTGAGTGAAATAGTAATCCATCTGTCAGTTCTAATGAGAATGCTTTCACAAGCTATTTTAGCATACATAATGAGCCAATGACCTTTGACCTTTGACCTTATGAACCAAGAATCTACTCAGTTTATTGGCTCTGCAAGATACATAAATGAAGTTTGGCAGGAATCCATCAATCTGTTCTAATGATTGTACGATCACAAGCTATTTTTTGCATACATAATGTGCCCTGTGACCTTTGACCTTTGACCTCGTGACCCCAAAATCTAATCAGTTCATCGGCTCTGCAAGTAACATACATGACCTAAGTTTGGCAGGAATCCATCAATCGGTTCTTGAGATAACGCGATCACGAGCTGTTTTTGCATACATAATGAGCCCTGTGACCTTTGGCCTTTGACCTCGTGACCCCAAAATCTAATCAGTTCATTGGCTCTGCAAGATACATACATGACCAAAGTTTGGCAGGAATTCATCAATCGGTTCTTCAGATAACGCGATCACGAGCTGTTTTTGCATACATAATGTGCCCTGTGACCTTTGACCTTTGACCTTGTGACCCCAAAATCTAATCAGTTCATCGGCTCTGCAAGATACATACATGACCAAAGTTTGGCAGGAATCCATCAATCGGTTCTTCAGATAACGCGATCACGAGCTGTTTTTGCATACATAATGAACCCTGTGACCTTTGACCTTTGACCTTGTGACCCCAAAATCTAATCAGTTCATCGGCTCTGCAAGATACATACATGACCAAAGTTTGGCAGGAATCCATCAATCGGTTCTTCAGATAACGCGATCACGAGAACGGGACGTACGTACGTACAGACGTACGTACAGACGTACGTACGTACGTACGGACGGACAACCCGAAAACATAATGCCTTCGGCTACTTCGTAAGGGAGGCATAAAAAGAATATTCAAGAAAATATATGCATTTTGACGAAATCTATTTATCTTCAAACTAATTGACAATAAGGTCATCTTGTATAAAATTTCAAACATGTGCAACTTTTATGCCCATTGGTTGCTTGAAGGCCAAGACCTTGAGGGTGACTAGCATTCCCCTATTCCCACCCCTTTTTAGGATGAAAGACATATGTTTCCATTGAGATTTTTTACTCCAAGCACATACTTCCTTCCTTGGCATTTGAGTGACATCATCAATCAAATCCAAGTTTGTAAGTTTTGTAAAATGAAAGGATGAAGAAATAGGGGGAATATAGTGAAAATTATCACATTTATCAATCTAGACAATGTACAGATGCAAACATGATGTGCGGATGTAGCAAAAAAGAAAACAAAAATGGGGGGGGGGGGGGGGGGAGCAAATCATTAAGATGTGTATTTCTAGAAATGTTTAACTGCTGGTCAAGTATATACAAATAATACACAGCAGTGAGGGCATTAGTAAGAATTACCCACACAAGGTCCCTTTGGAACAGTCTAACAACCATGTTTTATAACATGATTTTACTAATGAACGGTCATTAGCATTTGATAATGACCAGTCATTATCAAAATTACGTGTTAGGCAAAATAAATGCCTGGTCACGTGTACGCTCACAATCAATCATTTGATTAGGCTCCATCCATTTTATAATTCACATAAGCACCTTTCTATTTGATACACAGCCAGATGGCAACTTACCTGAGGAGGCACACCAGAGAAATGCTGAACTGGAACCTGTTGGGGAGGGGGAACCTGCTGTGGAGGGCCCTGTTGAGAACCCATGACAGGGTAGTGAGGCCCAACAAACATGACAGGTCCACCTACAAACTGGGGCGGAGGTAGCTGGTTTGGAGGGGGTGGTTGGGCCATCCCGGGTGGAGGGTGGTTGGGGCTGAAGAAAGCAGCGCTGGGGAGGTGCTGACCTGGTGGTCCTGGAGGCCTCATTCCTGGAAGACAGAGAAAACAAGATAATATTTACTACCAGGTACCCATTTACTTCACCTGGGTGGAGTGCGGCAAATGTAGATCATTGTCTTGCAAAAGGACAGTAGTGCGGCGGTGGGACTCGAACCGCGGACCTTGTGATCAACAGTCCAGCGACGTATCCACTCGACCACAACACCTCTTGGTTTCGTCTTTTCAGGGACGCACTGTAGTCCAATATACCTGCATCTGTGTTCAATACTTTTCATCATTTTTTATTTTAACCAAAATTCAATTAACTTCTGCAGTACCATATACCCATATCTGTGTTCAGTCACTGCTTGTGCCTTCCAGCAACATTTAATCAATTTGCTTTGATGATGAAGAATCCTACCCCAACTACTGCACAATCACAACCGTTTACTTTACAATGAACCATTATGATAACCCCTTAAGAATTTAATTTACTTTACAATGCAATCAATAGACAAATCCTTAAGGAAAGAAAAAGAGAATAAGAAAGAAAGAGAGAAAAAATAAAATTTGTTTTTAAAGATTGCAAGTGTCTTACCAGGATGCATGTTCACATCAGGTGGTGGCATCATTACATCATGAGGAGGGGGCGGGTGTGGGGGTGGGACCATCCTAGCCTCTGGGCTGCCTGCTAGCACATGGGGGTCCGCCCCACTCACTGGGGTGGGGTGGTGGACATGGTGGGGTGGTGATGTCATCGGTGGGGGTTGTGGTGGAGGGGTGTGGGAGGGGTAGTCTCTTCTGTTCTGGTAACCTTGACCTGGTCGAGATTTAAAAATTAAATTAAATTAAATTAAAGCAAACATTCAAGACAAGTACAACATCCTTCCAATCTGAACAGATTTATACTTTACACCTCAACAAGATACATATAGCACAAGACACAGCATGGCATAAATATCAAACAGGCTTCAACAGGCACGATATTTGTCCTACCGGTACATGTATGCCATTTCTGTTTACCAAATCAAAGTGCTGATAAAGTGCAGACTGCAGAAATCTAATCAGCAGAGCGATTGAAAATGACACTCACACGATTTCTAACACACACAAAAACTTCCCTGAACGAGGCCGACTTTTATCTGGACGTTTAAAGCTCTACATGAAACATATTCTAAATATATACAGGCATTCTATTCGCCAATTTTTTTTGATGACTTCTCTAACTAAGGGTTCTGATGCTAGTTTCACATCCCCCAAAAGTAAGCCCGACTCTTGCATAGTAAGCAACTGTGATGCTCCTCAGTACTTAGGAAATCAATACAGAAGAGTATATCTTTTGCAGTAGTGGTAATTAGTTTATCTGACTGCTAAGAAAGCATAAATGCTTGTTAGCAACCAGAGGACCAACGGCTTTAGGTCCTCTCAGAGAGACCTAATAATGAGGATTAATGCCTTACCAGAGGGCACTAGCGCATCGCCTTTGTTTGGGACCCATTTTGTAGGCTAAGAACTACTTTCTGGTGCTGACAAACAAACAGATCCAATGAAAGTATTGTCTCACCTCTGTCTCTCCCTCCTCTTGACGGTTGTTCTGAAGGTGGACCACCTGGTCCTTCCTGACCTCTCTGACGCTGAGAAGAATACCTCTTGGGGCGCCCTCTCTGTCAAGACCAAGTAAGGAATGGGAGAAATAAGAGGTAAATGCTATAAATGCATACATGTTCGTTCTAGTGGTGCACTCTTCACCCATTTAGTGTCACGGACAGCAGTTCATGAATTTGAACGCTAAAGTTTGGTCAAGAATAGCTTTATTTTGATTTTGATTCATGATTGTAATGTCGACATACTACAGATAATTCAACATCTTTCACTTTTACTAAAATAAAACTGAAACAGTAGGGCCAACTTTCAATCCATACTACAGTTGCAATCCTAGGTTAGGTAAGAAAAGGCATATACGTGTTTCAGGCTTACCTCTCTCCTGTCGTATCTCTCCTGGCGCTGTGATTCTTCCTGTCCTTCCACTGGAACTAAGATTAACAAAATTAAAAAAACTTCATTAATTGCTGAACTAATATGTGAGGACACAATAATGACTAAAACTACATGACGCAACAACAAAAGTACAACAAAAGTACAACAAAAAATAATAAGAGCCTAAAGGATCCTTACAAAAAATTCTGTAAGGAGCCAAGAATTGTTTAATAACAACGTTTTCAGCAAGAGGATCAATCTGATGATTTTATAAACTCATGAACCACAACGAATCCTATTTACTACATTATCCACCATTCAAAATAACTCAAAAGAATATTTTTATACATAATAATTGAAATGACCAGTTCCGATATATCTTATAAAGATTTGTAATTGACCAAACTTGATCATATGGAATGGATATCAATGACAAATATATGGGGGATAGGCAATTGCAGTTTAGCAATTGCTGGAGAATTTGCCATCAATTCAGATCCATTGAAACTCTTTATAAGACAGGGCCCAGTACTCTACATCATGGTCAAGACTACATTACCTTCCACTCCAACAGGTTCAATGATGGGTCTCGTTTCCAGTTTGGACTGAACATCTTGGTCGCCGTGACTCCAGGCAGTGCCATCCTGCATTGAAACCTTTAATTCTTTCACCAATTTCCTCAGCCCTTCCTTCTCTTCTTCATCGATCTGCTCTGGTGGGTCGTCCTTGCTGTCCTGCCTTGTGCTTCTTTGGCGACGATCCCTTGAATAAGCTTTGCTTTCACGCTGTCTGCGTGGCTGGCTCTCTTCCTTTTCTACTTCTCTCACAGGTTCCTCTGAAATTTGAACGCTCTCTTCCCCGTTCTCCGAGGAAGGAGCCCGTCCACCTGCTCTGGGGGATGTTGTTTCCTGCCGACGGTTATCCCTATAGCCCGAACCCTGCCTCCTTTGGTTTGAATAACTGTCCTGTGTATCGTATCTAGCATCTTGACTTTCATACCTACTGTCTTTACTCTCATTTCGAGTATTACGTTTTTCATACTTAGTGTCATACCTGGCATCTTGTCGACTAGATTCCTGCCTATAGCGTCCACCAGAACTTGAAGGTTCTGATCTGTAATTGCTATTCACCCATTGCTGCTTGTGTCCTTTACTAATATCTTGTTCTCTCCTATCATGATAATTATCTCTCCTTCCGTCATCTTGTTGACGATCTCTCCTTTCATACCCGTGGTCCTGTTCCTGTTTGCTTTGCCGACCAGTGCGTTCATAATCCTCACGATTGAATTCTGTTGTTGAGCTATCATTCCTGTAGCGTTCATTTCTACGATTCTGTCTCTCAAGGTAAGCATCGTGTGCCCGCTCTTCAGCACTTTTGCTGTCTCCCGCGGCACTTTGACCGTCTCCCGCAGCACTTTTGTTGGCTCCGGCAGAACTCCTACTGTCTCCCTCACCACTGTTTTGAGCTGTTCTCGCGGGTCCTCCCTGACCCTTGTAGCCCCATTGCCTCTCATACTCGTTGTCATCCCCTTCACCCCTATCCACAGTCCGCTGCTGCTGCTGCTGGTCGTTCCGCTCCTCTTGGTAACCTCTGCGATTCCCACGGTAGCCTCGCCCTCTCCCCGGTCTCCTATTATCACTCTGTACCCTGTCATCGGTGTATCGCTCCTTTGAGTAGTTGTCATCGTACCCACGTTCCTCTTTCCTGTATGGTTCTCTGTAACTCTGCCTAGCTTCTTCCCTCTCTGCCTCCATGGCCCAGGAGCTGTTATGAGTCTGAGCACGGACAGCCTTCTTTGACACATGCACATTTTCTTGTTGCTGTAGACTTGGCCACTCTTCCTCCACCTGTAACTTCTCTCTGGATGGGGGCTCTGGTTCTCTGTTGTAGGCAGGTTCTCTGTTGTAGGTAGGCCTGAAACATATGATTCAAGTAAAGCCGATGTTGTCAATGCCTTAATTCATGAAAAGTCTATTCACCACTGATAGCAGGTGAGATGTCTAGCAGACACTAGAAACTGTTGTTACTGAAAAAAAAATTGTAGTTACAAGGGTCACAGTCATTGCTTGTATGACATAGTATATTGCTATCACTTTAATATTTGTAGACATTTAATTTGATCCAAAAAAGAACCTAGTGACAAAACTATTGAATTAATATTGGAGGAGTTGACATCTACAAGGTGCAATAAATTGACCGCTTTCATTTATCTATTTTTTCTAATATATCTTAGAGTGTAATGAGACTATGCTATAACTGTCAATAATGAAATTGCAGCAGCATTACTAGATACAGTACAAGACCAATCATCTGTATCATGAAAAAATAATTTTTTCACTCTGCATGCACATGGAAAACAAAAGTGAATCTGTTACAGAAATCTGTAAAGATTTTAGTTTTTACCTCCTAGGCCTTGAATCTGTCCATCCCTCACTCTCTTCGTCATCATCTCTCCTCCTATATCCCCTTCCTCTACCTCGTCCCCTTCCTCTCCCTCTACCACGCCCCCTGCCACGCCCTATGTTAGGTATGGGTACATCTTCCAGCTTCCTTGTCCTAATGTCCATCCCGTAGATGTCCCTTAGCTCTTGGCTGGACTTGGGGGCTTGGTCCTGATCGACGAATTTATCATGCCTCCATCGGTCCTCGTTTTGCCACAGCTTCTTCTTCTTCTCCACTGGCCTATGGATCAAAGAAATGCAAGGCATGCAGAGTATTGAAAGAATGCACCTTCACTATGACAAAAGTTCAAGATAATAATATCTGAGATATCTTCAAAATGCTTCATTTTGCAACAGATAAACAAAGAAGATACAGAGAAACTGAAAATAAAAATGAATAAAAAATTAAACAAAGATTGACAAAAACAAAAAAGAACTGAAAATAACAGAAAAGATCTCCTACATAAATACAGATTTTCAAATGAACATTACGGTATATGAAGAGTTACACATTATCATTCTCCTCACATCCCCAAACCCCCCCCCCCTAAAAAAACAAAACAACAACAACAACAAACAAGAAACAATGATATCAAGATAATTAAAATAATTAAAATAAATACTTGCTTGATGTTTTCTACATTGTTTATCAAAGAAGAGGTATAAATGTTATTCTTACTTGGGCTCTGGTTTCTTTTCGTCATCATCGCTCATCCTGCTATCATGCATGTAATAGGGACCTTGCCTTGGTACAAACTGAGGGTTCTTTCTGTCTTCATCTACATCCAGATCCTGGGGAGCCTCCTACAGGATAAAGGTATTACCGAGTTGTAATATTAATTGTATAAATTGTAATGTAATGAACAATGATCATTAGTTTCAATAATGAAACATTAGATAGAGGATAAAAATATCTTGAGGATTGACCAATTCACCAAGTTTAAGTTTTAAATACTCCATTAGGTGGTTACTGGCAAACGTGCATCTGTGTGTTGGATAGTTTGGTATGATGTTGTTTAATTTCACATTAGCAATACTTTGATAATGCATGCTTGTTTATTAAAAATAAGAGTGTTGGCGAACTAAAGTGATAGTAAAATGATGCACAACATTTAACAGGCTCCTAACATATCATATGATAAGGATCCACTCAGTACTTGAACAGTGAATAACTAAAGATTATCCGCATACCTCTCCATCTCCACTTTTCCTTTCTTCGTCTGGACCATCTTCCTCTTCCTCCTCATCACGAATCTCTCCTTCTTCTAGCTCTTCTTCTTCTATTTCTCCTTCCTCCAGTTCATCTTCTTCATTCTTCCCCATCTCTCTATCTCCTTCTCCAACTGGTATCCTTTCTTCTCCCACATCTCCCTCCTGAGTCTCTTCCTCCTCTTCTGGAACAGGTTGATTCACCTCTTCTGGAACAGGTTGACTAGCCTCTTCTGGAACAGGTTGACTACCCACTTCTGGAACAGGTTGACTACCCACTTCTGGAACAGGTTGACTACTCTCTTCTGGTACAGGTTGACTACCATCGACTGGTATAGGTTGACTACCATCGACTGGTACAGGTTGACTACCCTCGACTGGTACAGGTTGACTACTCTCTTCTGGTACAGGTTGACTACCATCTTGTGGTACAGGTTGACTACCCACTTCTGGTACAGGTTGACTACCCTCGTCTGGTACAGGTTGACTACCCTCATCTGGTACAGGTTGACTACCCTCGACTGTTACAGGTTGACTACCCTCTTCTGGTACAGGTTGACTACCCACTTCTGGTACAGGTTGACTACCCTTATCTGGTACAGGTTGATCAACCTCTTCAGTTGTTTCCTGGAGGACATCTTCTTCTTTAGTTGGACGCTCCTCCACATCCTCTGTTCTTTCCGCACCATCATCTTTTGTTGGCTCTTCTGTGGTTTCTGAAATAGTAGTTGCCAACTGCTCTCCTTTCTCTGGTTCTTCTTGTACTGTGGAGAAAAAAAGGACACAAAAACATTATGCACATTTCATTGAGGTACAATGATTCAGAAAGTTTGCAAAAAAAGACATTTTGACACTAAACATAATGGATGCTAATAAAACTTATTAAAGGAAATCCATGTTCATGTTGACATCTGACTACTGTAAACTTTGTAATTTCTTTTTTAAACTACAGTAATTAATGTTGTATAAACTAAGTATAAACTGCACCCCGCTATTTCGCGAGCAGGAAGAAAAATATTAAAAGTCTTTTAAAATCGTTGATGTTACCGACTTGTACGACAATAAATGCCAATATCAACGGCGCTTGAGAGAAACGAATGAGAGACAGATAGAGAGAGAGAGAGAGAGAGAGAGAGAAGCGAAAAATTGAATATTGCTGATGTTACCAACTTTTATGACAAAAAGTAAGCTGACAGGAAAAAAGAAATAAACAGGAATATTAATTGGTTATGAATTAAACATAACCTAGCGCCTGCTTTTATAATAGTTCGATCGCATGATCGTGGGACGCCGGATGTCATTATTATTGGGCAATTAACTTAACACAAAAGGTTGTTTCGTCTAGGCAATCTTTAAGATGAAACATTAGACATCTCGGACCAAATATAGCACACCTTTTGACCAGGATAGCATCGATCAATGTCTAGTAAACGGGGTCTCTTTTGCCCTTCTCTCCTATTTCTTATGTTTACCGGCGGTAAACAAAAGTGCAGTTAACACAATGTTAATTACGGTAAAGACGGATTCATATGTAAAATGACCGTGAAGACAAACAGATAATTCTGAGAGTCATAAAACACATGTATAGGCAAAATTTCTCTTTTGTTTCCCTCATGTGCTTAAATCTTTTATGACATGAACAAATGCACCAAATGAGAAGATCTACATGAAGCAAACTTACCATCTATGGAAGCATCGTGACTCGTATCCTGCTGGGTCCCTTCATCTGGATGAGTAGTGATAGTTTCCTCCTCCCCCTCCTTCTCCTGCAGGACTCCATCGGCATCACAACCTCCTGGTTCTCCTTGAACTTCCCTTCCAAGAGTGGTGTCAGGGACATCATCAGAAGCTTCAGGAATGCTCTCCACAGGTTGCGGTTCATGAGTATCTTGCTCCACTGGGACGTCTACAGAAGTAGCCATAGGAGCAGGTGCAGGAGGATCCAGAGGAGTATCCAGAGGAGTAGGAGAAACAGGAGAAGGATCTGTTTCTTCTTTAGCTGCTATATTCAATGTCTCCACCTGTTCTTTATCTTGATCTCCTTCTCCCACTTTGTCTCCAGGAGGTGTTGGTTCTTCTTTAGCTACTACATTTAATGCCTCCACCTTTTCTTCATCTTGGTCTCCTTCCCCCACTTTATCTTCAGAAGGTACTGGTGCGGCTAATATCTCCTAGACATCAAAAGAAAACGAATAGAAGAAAATGAAATGAAGCAATGATTACATTTTCTCTTGCATTCAGAACGTGAATTAAAATTATATCTTAGAAAAAAAAGTAGAGTTAAGCCACGCCATTAAATACAAACAATACAGGATAATTTCCATGCATCGGGTTCACAACTGCTAACATATCATTTTGATTGATATGTCTGAGGTCAAGGAATCTCTCTTCATTCCAAAGGGCACAAGTCTGTATACACTGTAGCAGCAATCATGTGAAGTGAAGATGAGTAGATGGTCAAAGAAGAGTAAAAACTTTGAAACATACTTCTAGAAACATAAATCTGATGGCCTCTCTTTAAAGGGATTGGGTATCTTTGCCTCACATTCTAAACAAAATCCTGGATTAAGCTCATGCTGCAATCATAATTAATATAAACCTTTAGGTCAGTCAGGAATCTCATGACTTTTACCTGTCTAATTATCAAGACATTTACGATTGGAAATAGAAATTTCAAAAACTGTTGAGATTATAACACTTCAGTCTACTGGAGGAAATGAGTATGGTAAAACCGTCACTCAAAGTTTTTTACTTTTTTGAGGCACTTCATGATAATTTTAAAGCGCATTTTTTTAGAGCTTCAATTATTACACCATATCACAGACACTGATAACCTGAGGCAATGCATCTCAGATTTAACATTGTTAAACGATGCCTTTAAGTCTTTCAACCCGGGACAGAACATGCCTACCTTTTCATTCTCTGTTCCCGGTTCTTGATTACTGCTTGTAATTGTGGGAGCGTCCGCTTCCTCTGCACTTGCGTAATCAGATTCTTCATCTTCATCTAAGATTGTATCACTCTCCTGTACAGGGAATAACATTAGACAAAGTACAAAATCAGAAATTATAAGATTATGAAACACCATTACCCACAAATCATTCTGCAATCTGCACTCTAATAATCAAATGAGACCTAGTGACCGTTTGATTCGCTACTGACATCAAGTATTGCTTTCTCTTCAAAGGGGACTAAGCCATGTTGTCCCTATTAGATTTACTGCTCATCAATATTTGACACAATTTTCCATCTAAAGCTCTCCAACTGCTAACACTTTACACCAGAAAGGTAGGCCTACTTCTGATCTGGTGTAAAATGCCTATAGATGCACACTTCAGACATTGACTATTAGTTGACACTAATTTGAAAAATGCATTCATCTTAACAATAAGAAAGTTTCCCACATGCACCACAGATCTTCTTGGAAACGGGTCACGAGTTCTATCCATGTTTAAACTCTCATGAATAGTTATCAGATGGATGAAAATTTGATGCCAAAATTCAGCAAAGCAATACAGGAAACACAGATAGAAAGCGCAGAAGTTGTCCGGAAATGCATGTAACCATGCTGATATAATGAACATAACTTTACATTTATAAACACAATAAGCTTTCAAGTTGAAGCCTGTTGGGAGCCCCTAAAATTTGATCGCAAAATTTCACTTGAATTGTATCATAATGTGAAAGAGGATGTCATCAAATGTGTTTGAAGTTGAATATTGATGAAAGTATACAATATTTACGTTTTTCTGCGCACAGCAACAGAAAACCCAAATTTCTTTTTCTTTTATCAATCATCAATGTTTGTCTTCAATCACTCTGGGGATCTTTGTAGAAGTGTGTCTTAAATTACATCCTCTTTCACATTAAATTACAATTTAAGTGAAATTTTGCCAATTTGGGGCTCCTATTTCCTAACACTTTTAAGAAGAGCCCTTGAAGGCGCCAATTGAGGAAAATGAGACCGGACGAGACCCGGATGAACATAATGCTCATGCGCTAGACGAAAGCTAAAGAACTTCTATGTGAACTGACAATCAACATGTCAAGTAAGGACGAAACAACCATTTTTCTTGTCAAAATCAAATTTGATCATCAGGTTTTGAGATAGGTCTACCGTCTAGTCTATTTTCACTTTTGAATTTGACTCACAATCACATATTCTGCAGCACATCAAAAACATAAAGATTAATCATTAGAGAAATAGAAAGCAAATTCTTTTTCAATTCCAAGGCAATTTGGCTCACAGATTTATAGACACTAAGCATTCAAACTTTCAAAGACACAAGCTCATATTACTCTGCCGCTTTCTGCGACTCCATTCACTACAGCACACTGCACCAGGCAGGGACTGGGGCTGGGGCGGGTACAACATGCATACACACCGGCCGCGCACGCTACAAATTACAATGCAAGCTCCACACAGTCACAATCGCAGGTGCCGGTACATGTTAAAAAAGTGTAAAATTGGCAGACAAAAAGTCACTAAAATCCACTAGTCAATCATCATAATCATACTAACATCTCCTGAGCTGTTAGTTACGTCTTCTCCTTCCTTGGTTTCACTGTCATCAAGCCTAACTCTTCTCCGACGTCGTCTGTCCGCCATTTCATACACTTTCCTAAGAATAAAGTGGGGTCAAAGGTTAACGCACGATCCACGTGCATGTTGTACAACGTCTATGTACATTTACGGTGACACGATCTGTATTCAAATTTCAAACTTTTCAAGTATTCAATTTATTTCACATCACTTTAAAAACACATCAAAAGATATACAAACAAATCATAAATTAAAACAATATAAATATATACAAAAAAACAACATTCATTTACATTGTACTGATGAAAGAAGGATGAAGGGTGGAGGATGTGAGGGATCAACAAAGGCCATTGGCCTGTCAAGGTTGATCCCCTATATTTCCACCCTTCAAAAGAAATACATTATACAAAATATAAAAAATAAAAACAATCAAACAAACAGATAATATAACATAGCATAATCACATAAAAACACAACATAATTATTTACATAAATCACATAAAAGGCAATTAGATCAAATAAAACTACTCACAATTAAGAAGATAACATTTATATTTTTTCCTGAATGTAAAAACATTGGATATTTCATTTAATACGTTTGGCAACTCATTCCAAAGCTGTGGGCCTTTAAAACTTACTGTAGTTCTTGAAAAATTAAAAATATAAAAAGGTACATACATTTTATTGGAATTTCTTGTTTTATATTTATTGATGTTGCAATTATATTCGAAATAGTCATGGAAGTTATTGGGCAATAGTTGTTTAGAATAAGAAAACATAAACGATGCTAGTTGTAATTTATTTATATCAAATATATTCAATATTTTTAACTTTTTAAATAATTGTTGGGTATGTGCTAAATAGTTTGATTTGGTAATTGCTCGTATTGCACGTTTCTGTAGTAAAAACAATTTTTGTGATAAATAAAATGAGCAACCACCCCATACAATATTAGAATACATAAAATGTGATAGAATCATACAGTTATACAAATTTGTTAAAATCTTCAGAGGTAAAATGTGTTTTAAAATATTAAAGACTTCAATGGATTTAGATATTTTTAAAGCAATGTAATTAACATGTTCCTTCCAGTTCAAGTCTTCGTCAATGATTACTACAAGAAATTTAGTACTGGTTTCTCTCTTTATACTTAGATCATTAAGTTTAATATTTATTACATTATCTTGTATTCTACAATTCCTACTCTTAAATATCATATAACATGTTTTATCGCGATTAATGTAGAGTTTATTGGCTGTAAACCAAGTTTGTATGCTTTTCATTTCTGAATTTAATAGATTATTTAATGCAACTGGATCTTTACCTGATAAAAATAAACTTGTGTCATCTGCAAATAAAATTACTGATAAAATATTGCTAACATATTGCAGATCATTAATATAAAGTAAAAATAAAAGGGGGCCGAGATTAGATCCCTGAGGTACACCTACTGAAATACTTTTATGTTCTGAATTAAAATTATCAACGCTTACATATTGCTTCCTATTGCACAAATAACTTTCAAACCACTGTATTGCATTTCCCCTTATTCCATAATATTTCAGTTTTTTAAGTAAAATTGAATGGTCAATACAGTCAAACGCCTTTGACAGGTCTAAAAAGAGAGATATCACTATGTGTTTCTTTTCAAAGGCTTTGGCAATTTTATCTGTTAATTCAATCAATGCATGGGTAGTACTATATCCCTTTCTAAAGCCAAATTGTTTATTATGCAAAATATTGTGTTTTTCAATAAAATATATTATTCATAAACAATTTTTTCTAAAATTTTACTAAAAATTGATAAAATAGAGATTGGTCTATAATTATTCAACATATTTTTACTGCCATTCTTATTAATTGGTATAACTTTAGCTATTTTTAATGCATTAGGAAATATGCCTTTTTCAAGAGAAGAATTAAATATATTGCACAAAGGAGACACAATTGCATTAATAGAAGATTTAACAATTTTAGCACTAATTTCATCGTAACCAGGACATTTACTTACATCAAAACTCGATATAATATTAATTATAGTAGATTCTGTAACAGAAACTCTGAGCAGAAAATGAAAGAAACAAAGTTGTGAAAGTTTGAGGCATTATCCGATTTGAAATAACTAGACTCTACTACAAAATTTCAAAAAAATAAATATTCAATCATACGTAATGCACTGAAAATTAATTCGAACATGTTTCTAACCCCTGTGTAGAAAAAAGTATATCAAATTTTATGTAGAGCGCAAATAGACCGGTTGACTAATATACAAATAATGAATGGTTATGAGTTCAATAGTGCGAATATTTTCATTTTTTATTCAACGAGGCATCAACCGAGTTAAATAGAATTAAAGGTACTATGTCCCATTTGCAGGCCAAAAAAAAAAAATGAAAAAGTTAAATTCCAACTGCATTTGAAAGATAATACTAATTTAGAACTTCCCTAAAATGGGGCTTGAAAATGTCTTCAAGTGGGAAAATATAACGACAGTTTTCAAATCGACTTTAGGGCTATAGAGCCAAAGAGACAATGTATGTAGGGGTGACCAAAGTTCGCGGACATTTTAGAACACATTACAAAATGCCAAAATGTGATGTTCGATCTATGATTTCTCATATTCTACACAAATTTATTTATTTAAATTATTACCAAATGGACGGCAAAGTTTTTTGCTACAGATCGGTTCAACTAAAACAAAATTTCGTGGAAGGATTTCGGAGATATCGCAATCTAAAAATTCGATGTCCGATCGTGCGTGCGCGCTACATCTAAAAAAGTCATAAAAACAACGAGACCTAACTTCACGCACGGGGGTTTACAGTTGATTTAACAAAAAATGTGATGCATCAAAAATAAGGTAATGTTATAATTTGCAAGGCAAGACATCATACAATCAGTTGGTACCACTTTTTACTTACAATTTAGAGGAAATCTGCTCTAAAAATTGAAGATTTTCAGACCCTTATCGGTAAATTGATAATTTTTCGGAACGGACTAAAACGGGTTGCAAAATTTGCCGATCTTTTGTCAATATTTTCACAATTTCGTACACAATTCCAAAAAGAATTTCATATGTGGGTAATTTTATGTTCCTCTTTCCGTTGGTGATATCAGATTTTCGAAATCTTACTGATTTTTTGAGATAGCGAACTTAGGTCACGCGCGAACTTTGGTCACACCACCATACCGAATGGCCATACGTTTTATGCTGCGCAAAGATTCAATCAGTTTAACCTTGGCCATCACAAGAAGTGGGTTATTGCCGGTTATTGATGTAGACAAATGCTCATGTACGCTTTACAACTCTTTTCATGTATATAATTACCAAAGAAGAAAAAAAGCCAGTCAGTCACTCAATAGTGTCTGACAGTGAAGTCTAGCAAGTAAATGGGTTTCCTTGCATAATTTGAGGACACTGCTAACGTTTAAATTTCACAGATAGGACATACATGACATATTCATAATTCCTGCAAAGCTCTACAGCATTTGAGGTTGGCTGCAAAAGGGACATGGTACCTTTAACGTTAATCTTTCAACGAATGAAAATATTAGCACTATTAAACGAATGAAAAACATTCATTATTTGTTTTATACAACATCGAAGAAGATCTAATAGAACGTTAATCAACAAATTATGCTTTACTCCTTAATTAAAGATAAATTAAAGTTGGAGTCAAGCCTTCGCGTCAGATACACGCAGGGATACGCGCACTGCAGAGAGTACGCAGTCTGCATTATACTGGCCAAAAAGGCACGGCGCATAATTATAACCAAAAATGCACGCTCGTGCAATATAACATATATTGAATATCATGTGACCAACAATCCTCCAATCAAATGACAAGGATCCACGTAGGTGTTGCATACATATTATTCACGTCTTTGGAAGCTTCTTTTCTGGGGATCTGACAAGGTTTTTCATATATTTGTTTGCCAAAACACATATGATTATTTAATCATATAACATAAACATTTAATATACAATTAAATATTAAACACTGACCATAGGGCAAGTCTACTCCAAAAATAAACTACTTTCAATGAGAAGCAGAAAAATCAGACAAACCAATCTAAAAATGTTTGAGCAAAATCAGATAACTAATAAGAAAGTTACATGAAAAAAAAATTGAAAATCACAAGACAAATTGGCAACTCACTCATGAGTCCGTGACGTCATTGCCTCACTATCCACTAATTTATACCTTGGAATTTGGAAATATACCTTGGAAGTAGGCATTTAAAGTTAAAAACTGCCTCTCGTTGACATTTGGATGAAGAATCCATATTGGGACGCATGTTTAGTTGATAATATAATTTCCCATTTCCCCCCTAAAAATCTTATTTCTTCACACCAGCCATCCAAGTTATATTGATAGTAATAATTTTTTGTGTGGATGCACAAATATAGAGTAAAATTGTTCAGTAAAATCATGAAGAAAAAAAATTGGGGGGGGGGGGGGTCCCGAAACTTGAAAATTTGACCGATTGACATTTCGTTCCGTTGGGTTTTAGGTCCTATCCATCATCTTGCAGCATCAGCGACAGCGCCAGCTACGACATAGTTTTGAAGAAGCTTCAGCACAGCAAATGAAAGTTTATCCCCCAAAAAGGAAGTCTACTGATTATGAAGGGGGAAAAAATCAAACTACATCACCACCCAGATGAACTTCTTCAATTATTTAGTTAATACTAAACTTCAGAGAACATCTCTCATCTCATCTCTCCATGTTGATTTGATACGCTTAGTTGTTTAATTGGGCAATTTTCATCAAAGAAGGATTTATTTTCTGGAAGGGGCACTTGGTAGCGTTGAAAAGGAAGAAGACTATGCTTTGAAAAAGGTGCACTCTTGATGCTTGTGAGGGCTTTTGGACTCTCCTACCCTAGACCACAGGGGCGGCGATTTCTTTTCATGACCGGGGGGGGGGGGGGACGAAATGCGAGGAACGAGGGAAGAGTAACGTAATGAGCAAAAACCTTTATTGGGGGGGGGGGGGGAGAAGAGAAAAAATCTGCATCATCACCGCTCTTACATGTTACATGCAGGCCCCGCGGAACGTTTTTCAAAGTGGGAGGGGGGGGGGCTAAAGTATTTGTGATCAGATAG